GGCCAATATTTAATTGACGTTCCCTTACCTTTCATGAGTTGTTAATGCTATGTGCGTGGATGGACCTCTGCATTTGTGGTGGGTAATATCCCAGGTGCGACAAAACTAGAAAGGGTACAAAGGCATGACGGAGTAAGGGATGAATCGCGGGAGTTCGTGCAAGAAGTAGAAATATCTCAAGCCGTTAAGAGAGCAGACAGAGCATGTGACGAAAAACCCATCAAGTAATTACGGAATGCCTATAGAGGACTTAAAACGTGCCAAGGAGCAGGACTTTTATCTAAAGACACTGTGGGCAAGCAAGGCAAAACAAAATCGGGTATACTGGTAAAATAAATTCCAGCAGAAAAGCAGTGGCAAAGATTGTTGTATCAAGAGTTTTCGTCTGCTTACATAGATAATGGGGAGATGTTTTCACCACATGTGATACAGAGTGAGTTGAGAACACACGTGATGGGATTGGATTATGATTCCTTGCTTGAGGGACATATGGGTGTGCGAATTACTCTTGATAGGATAATCTCTTTCAATTTTTACTGGTCTCGGGTCAATAAAGATGTAAAGCAATATTCTATTTTATTTAGGATTTATATCGTGCCCTTTGCAGGGCACTTTACAACACAAGCTGACGGCGGTACACAAGGGGCAAAAGGGGAGCAATGGGTGGGGTGGAGCGGCTGTCAGTGAGGGAGGTGACGGAAGGGACAGAGGCTGGGAATGGAGCTGATGTTTTAGGGATGGGGAAGGAGGAATACGGTGGATAGTGATGGTGAATGAGGGGACAGATAGGTGCAATGTGGATTAAAGGAAGCGGGGTATGGGACACAAGCGTGAAGTGATAAGATATGTGCTTTTGCTGAGCATGGTTGAGGGTAGGTGTAGGGTGGTCGGGGCAGATTTCTGGTGGCCGCATAGTTGAGCTGTTGAGGTGTACAGTGGAGGGATGGGGGAGAGATGTGGTTAGGTGCACATAGAGAAAGCGAGACATGGGAGCCGGGTCAGGAATTAAGGTTTTTGTAGGAAGAGGATCGGGGGAGTCGGTCAGAGGTGGGAGAAGGAACCGATGAAGGCAGTAGAAGAGAAAACACAATATAAAAAAGAAAAGACCTAAGGACAGAGTGAAACAAGGAAAGCAAGGGGGGGAGTAATTTAGAGAGGGAGTTTGTTCCAGTGCAATTGGGCAAGAAGAGAGAAATAAAGAAAGCGAGACTGGGCATGAGGAGGTGAAGGAACAGTGAGAAAATGGGAATATTGAGATCGAAGAGCGCGTGAAGGGACGTATTGGGAAACAAGAGAAAAGAGGTGGGGGAGAAGGGCAAGACCGTGCAAAGCTTTGAATACTAGGGTGAAGAATTTAAAAAGACAGCGGTGCTAAAACAGGAAGCTAGTGAAGTTGTTGGAGAGGAGAGCAGTGAGATGTGTTGGGAAGGTTGAGTACAGTGCATGCCGCTGCATTTTGGAAGTGTTAGAGAGGGTTAAAGGCGTAAGCAGGAAGACCTACCAGCAGTGAGTTGCAGTCATCAAGACAAGTGAAGACAAGGGAGTGTACGAGGAGTTTGGCAGCAGTGGTAGTGATGAGGGGGCAGATTTCCCTGGTGTTGTACAAATCGTAACCGCATTTGAGTGGTCTTGGCAATGTGGAAATTGAAGGAAAGAGTGGAATTGAAAGGAGGTTTTGGGAAATACATGTTTGTATGGCTGTCAGACAGGATTATATGCAGAGGGAACGATTCGGGATGAATGATTTGAAGAAGAAAATTTGAATGTCATTTGCAAACATGTGATAGGAAATATCAAAGGAACAAAGAATAGACTCAAGGGCCGATGTGTATACGGAGAACAGAAGGGGACCAGATACCAAGCCCCCTGGGGGATACCAACCATGACAGAGGTGGTGGAAGAAGAGCAGTGGTTGAAAGAGACAGTCGCTGAATGGGAAGTTGTGTAGGAATGGATCCAAGAAAGAGGGGTGTCAGAGATGCTGACGTTGGAGAGAGTGGATAAGAGGATGGAGTGGTCAAAGATGTCGAAGGCAGAAGACAGGCTGAGAGAGATAAGGACGGAGGATAGACCGGAGTGAAGTGAGTTAGCCAGGTGGTTGTGGAAGTGAAAGAGGGCAGTTTCAGTGGAATGGAGAGGGCGAACCCCAGACCGATGGAGGGGATATACAGTCAGTGGGAAAAGATGTAGAATGAGAGGTGGGATTGCACAAAGCATTCAAGGAGTTTGGAGAAATTAGAAAGCAATTAAAAGGGGTGATAGTATGCAGGGACAGAAGGATATAGAGAAGGTTTTTTGAGAAGCGGTATGATGATGATGATGATTTTGTAAGGGTTGGGGAAAATGTCAGAAGAGAGAGAAGAGTTAAAGAGAGCAAAGAGAAATGGATGTATAGTGGGGAGAATGTATGGAGGAAGGGAAGGCAGAAGGGGAACGAGGGAGGAAAAGGTAATGCAGGTTTTGGAGGTTATGATGGACAGTTCCAGAATAGAAATATGGCAGACAGCAATTAAGGAAATATACGTACTGTAGTGACATAGAATTGGTCACTAAGTAGCATAGCACTAGCTGCTGGCAGGGAAGGGGATCTGCAGCTTGTAGCAGCCCTGATTGACATCAGTCCACGTAATAGACCGGAAAGGGATCTAGGGTAAAAGTTATGGAAGGGACAATGAGGGCCCACTAGTAGGTTCTAGAAGAGGCATGGCGAGGGCGGAGTGAAGCCACGCTAACAGGATAAAAGGGGACACCAAGCGGGAGCTCGGGGACGTCCTTTGGAGTGAGATCCCCTGCTGTTGCCTTTGCCGATGTCGTCTCGTGGCTTCGTTGGTATCGTTGTCCACTTAATAATTGAGCTGCTAGCAGTAGTTGGCTGTCTTAGTTCAGCGCCGTCAGTGTCACATGGCTAGCGTTGTGTTGTAGGCTAGCAACCAGTTAAGCGAGAGACAGAGTGTTGTGTGTAAGTGTGCTCCGTGTTTAAAGAATTGCCTCCAATAATTTACGTCTCCAAGTCAGTCACTACAGTAGGATGTAGTGTGGAGAGGTCAGTAGGTACAGGGATGTCAGGTGGTTGCACAGTCACCAAGTAGGAGCGTATATGGTCGATCTTGGTCATAAAGTAGTTGGAGAAAACCACAGAAGTGGGGGCGTAAGAGGAAATTACAGGAGCGGTAGAAGACGGACGGAGCAGAGTTTAGAGTATTGAAGCATACAGCAGGGTGTGGAGATGGGGAGGGAATGAGGGAAAGTATGATTGGCAAAAAGCCTCCACAGCCAAAGTGTAATTTGATAATTTGATAGTAGGGAAGTAGATGAGGAACATGAATCATGACTTGGTGAGGTCCTTCAGATGTGCTCCGTTTTGTGCATGAGCCGGTACTATGACTTGAGCATTGGTGATAACTAAGGACATGGGGGGGGGGGGGGGGGCGTTGCGTAGGGTGGAAGAGGAGCAGAGGTGCAAGCGCGTCCAAAGAGGAAGAAAGTAATACATTTATGACAGAATAAGCAGTGTTGGGGTGCAGTGAGGAGAAATCGAAGATAGGGGGAAGAAATGAGAAAACCAAGGAAATAAGTGCTCAATGGTCAAGAGAACATGGGTTGCGGTGGAGGCGTGGAGATGCGGGAAAGGTGTGAGGGGAGGGAACGAGGAGTGTCACATAACTGTAACAATTCTGTTTTTTTGTCCCTGGGTAGTCTTATTTCCTAATTGCTTATGTATGAAATGTACAGAAAATAACTATTATTCCCCACAAACTTTGCTTTTGTGACCAGGACAGTAATATTTGTAAATTTACCTATTTTCCAGATCATTCCAGATAGGTTCAGTGCTGAGTAAACTTGGAGTAACTTCTAGAACCTTCTAGAACCGTCCAGTAATATAAATAGTAGTATAAATACAGGGGCCTTAAGCCCACCAGTTCAGTTTAGTTCCAGCTGCCTAAGTGGATAATATCCGTATTTTTCTGAGTTGGCATCAAGAGGCTGCAAGCATCCGGCAGACGCATTTTGCTATGTCTGTGGCCAATGTATCAAACAAGAGTGAAAAAGCACTCTGTGGAAGCATCTGCTAAGATGTGTGAGACCTACAAGGCATATTTCGGCATGCCTGTCGGGGATCAAGACACACCCTGGGCACCTCATTTCACCTGCGAGCAATGCAAAAAAAAAACTGGGAGGTAAGATGGACAATTCTTGCTCGGAATTGTCGCCTCATGTCAGAAGGGGTGATGTTGGACAGGATTGGCAACCAGACCTCAAACATTCTCTATCTTCCAGAATGTATTCACCATGTTTATAAATCTACATGTTAGATGTTAAACATTGGAGCAGTGTTGCAATGTTTTATGCACTGTGTTATGAGCCCGGTGATATGAGTGTGGTTCCAGTTCCAGTGATAGACAACATCTGAAGCAGTCTGTCACAGTTCACTCGCTCAAGCAACCCCCATGAGTGGATTGGCAGGGATATAAAGTATTACTGATCAGCAACCAATGACCAGAATAAGTTGAAACCCAATGTGTATTAAACGTACGTTACCAAGAAATTAATATTATTAAAACAAAACTAGCCCAAGGATGTGGTATTAAATATTCACAAGGCCTCGGCACAGATTCGTTGTCCTTCTGCTTTTCTTGGTATCTCGCTCGGTGTGTTTTTGTGTGTCTCTCTCTGCATGTGTATCTGCCTATGTTGTTTTCATGTATGTTTTATCATTCATTCTTACCTGATGATGGTTGATGGTGTTGCAATCAAAACGTCGTATTCTATTATTATGGGATTTTATTTTCTACGTGACTTTACCGAAATAACCAAAGAGTAATTCCTGCAGTCACGAAAGCTTCGAATCTAGTTTTATTCATAATTAATTAACTCTAAACAGGAAATGGTCATTTGCATGTTATTGAACGTTTTATTGTGATTTTAATTATTTTTTCCTCATTTGCTTTGTTTTGTCAAAACAGTTAAAAATTTAGTTTTTTAAATGTCGCCAATGACAGATGCCGTTCCAGTGCCAAGTTACACCATTGTAACCATCACCAACAAGACTATGACGTCCATTACAGTATCCTGGATAACTTCTCTCCCTAACGCGTACTACTACTTGATCTACGTGACAGAGACTATGAGTGGAAGACAGATTTACAATTCATCGTCAAATTCAAACACTTCCACATTGACTAACCTGGTTCCTGCAAGGAACTACTCCGTGTCTGTGACGGCTTACAATGGGTCCTCCTACCAAATATCAGATGTCGTCATGGACCGTACCTGTAAGTACCAATATGGATTTGCAAAGAGTTGTAAATCATTACCGATCCGTAATTATAGCCTGTCCGCCCTGTCCCTCTCTGCCTTCTGTTAATCCGAGTGAAGACAGGTTGGCTATAAAAACAATATACTTGTAAATTAGGGAAATCATATTTCAATGACAATAAACAAATAAACAAATATTATTTTATATATCATGGAACATCTGCAAAAACACCTATTCTGCTTTCCCCATTCGCCCAATCTTAAAATGAACCTCTAATTCAGCCATTTTTGACTTCCCCACGAACAGCACAACACAATAACACCAAATGCTATCAATGATTACAAAACTTGTATTTGCACACACTATACTCATATTTCTACTCCGTTATATATTTGATTCGAGTTGGATTAATCAAAATAGTTAATAAGATTTGTAAAATAAGTAAATAATGAGCTACGATGCAGAAACCATCTTATTAGATTCCCCGCGCAAAACCAGGCAAACAAAATACAACTAAATAAGTTAACATTTCACACCTGCAATAGCGATCAAAAACACCCTCCACGTCATAACGCCACCGCTGATTGTCTGTTAATGGGATTAAGCACCATTGTTAATATTATAGACCTAATTATTATAAGTATTTTTATATTGAAATCAACGTTAATGGAAGTCTTAACTGTGCATATCTTCATTACCACCAATAACTCAACAGTCAATGAACATTACCGAGTTCCTGCAATTCAATTGACATTCAAATCATCAGTATAGGCAATCCCTCGCAATTAAGGATGATTGTTTTCCACAGAAAAGTTGGATTTAATTATCTGTGGGTCCGAATATGGCTGAAAATACCAATTGGGGATCGATAGATTCTGCCGCAGCTCTGGGATCCGTGTCCAGAAAAAGTGGTGGTGGTGTGGAACTGCATTAGAAAGTCGGGCTGCAGCGTTGCTGTCTCTGCCAGTCCCACTTTTTCTATTTCCGCCATTGAGTTTCATTGAAATCGACTCTGTGTCCATCTGAGGTGACCCTGGGAGAGTCTCCCTTGATTTGGTGTCAAATGAGCACTTCATACTCTTTGGTTATTTCGGTAAAGTCACGTAGATATAAAATAAAATAAATCACGACGTTTCGATCGCAACACAAGTGGTCGTCCTCAGGCGGAAAACATATAATCCAGCAGTGGATCTGCTGAGCTAGTTCAGCAGTTAAAATGCTGGACGACTGCTTGTGTTGCGATCGAAACGTCGTGATTTATTTTATTTTATGGCTATGTGACTTTACCGAAAGAACAAAAGAGTATGGATTCCTGCAATCAAGAGGGAGCGCTTCATGTTGGCCTTGAGGACATCCTTGAAGCGCTTTCTCTGCCCTCCTCTTAAACGTACACCCTGACCTAAGCTGAGAGCAGAAGACTTCCTGCGAGAATCTGGAGTTGGGCAAATTGATATGGCCGGCCCAACGAAGCTGATTTTGAATGATAATGGCCTCAATGCTCGTGTTTGTTTGCGAGAGGACGCTGATGTTAGTGCGTCTGTCTAGCCACCTGATTTAAGGATCATATATTATTGGAGCTAATGTAATATGCTGCTTTCCAGCAATTGATCAGCTCAAATGTAAATTGAGGGCGTGCCTCGTACCCTGCAGTACGCATAGGGCTCTGGGTCCAATCTCTGACCACCATTACATTATCTTTAATTTTGAAAGAAAACTAATCTGGCTAACCATATCAATTAGCACAGTGCACAATTATATGTGTGATTAATCAAAGCTGACCTCACACTGGCTACACAACCAATGGTCAAAAGAAGTATCAGCCCAATGTGTAATAAAATTTGGTTACTGAGAAGTGAAAATTATCAAGACAAAACTTGCCCAAGCATGTGGTGATTTACATATGTTATTGTATTATGAAAGAATACAGAATGTTTCACAATTTTCATTAATTTGTTTACATTTGCATTGTTTTGTTAAAGTGAGACATCTTGTTATTACAATATCATCCATTCTAGATGCCGTTTCAGTGCTAAGTTACACCATTGTAACCATCACCAACAAGACTATGACGTCCATTACAGTCTCTTGGATAACTTCTCTCGTGAACGTATCCTACTACTGGATCCACATGACAGACACTATAAGTGAAAGAGAGAATTACTATGACTATCCATATTTAAGCACGTACACATTCACTAACCTGGTTCCTGGAAGGAACTACTCCATGTTTGTGACGGCTAACAACGGGTCCTCCTCCCAAAAATCAGATGTCGTCATGGACACAACCTGTAAGTACTTATACGGTCTCCTATCAATAATTCTACTGCATCTTCAATTGACCACTAATAATGACAAACCTTATTTTAGCCATTTGCAGCCCAACTGATTATTTAACATCTGGCACAATTGAACTTTATCCATTAGCCAGCATAGCAGGCTGGTAAGTATTATCAGCTTGTTACCACAATCTGTGCAATCTGGAGGTAACATTTCCGTTTATTTGTTGAATTCTGCAAACAGGGTATCTTGTGATAAAACGGTAACTGTTGATTGAACACATGTTTAATCAAAGCTACATGCGGCATGTCTTGCACCTTACGAGTCGGGAAGGTGTCAGAAGGAGTTATGTTGGACAGCACCAGCAACAAAACATCCAAACATTCCCCCAATATTGCAATATCTTTCTGAATGTAATTGCCATGTTGATAAATTCTCATGTCAGATGTAAATAATTTGCTGGAGCAGTGCTGAAATAGTTTATGCACTGTGTTATGAACCCGGTGATCTGTGCGAATCCAGCCAATGGCAACATCAATAGCAAGTTACATCTGAATCAGTCTTAGGCCCACTTCACTCGCGCACACTAGTAATGGTGATGAAGTTTGGTCAAGTAATCCCTGAGTAAGAAGGCATGAGGAGACTTTCGTCGACCAGTGGATTTGCAAAGGCCTGTAAATTATCACTGATCTGCAACCCATGATCAGAAAAAGAATCAACCCAATGTGTAATTAATTTTGGTTACTGAGAAGTGAAAACTACATATAAAAGTAGCCAAGCATATGGTGTTCAATATTTATAATTAATTTCCATGAACCCTTACATCACCAACAAATGTATTGATGTATTTGTCAACGTCATTGAATTATGAAAAAAACCAGAATGTTGTCAGGATTTTTTTTTCAATTTGCAGTAAGTTTTGGATTTTCTTTACTTTGTTGACTAAATATCGCCCATGCCAAATGTCGTTTCAGTGCCACTTTATACCATTGTAACCATCACCAACAAGTCCATGACGTCCATTACATTCTCTTGGATGACTTCTCTCCCTAACGCGTACTACTACGAGATCTACGTGGCAGAGACTATAAGTGGAAAAAAGAATCCCATAGAAAATCAATATTTAAACGTGCTCACATTGACGGACCTGGTTCCTGGAAGGAACTACTCCGTGTCTGTGACGGCTAACAACGGGTCCTCCTCCCAAAGATCAGATGTCGTCATGGACAGAACCTGTACGTACTTATATGCTCTACTGTCAATAATTGTACTGCATCTTTAATTGACAAGGTACAGTGAGAGAAAAAAGTATTTCATCCCCTGATGATTTTGTACGTTTTCCCACTGACAAAGAAATGATCAGTCTATCATTTTAATGGTAGGTTTATTTGAACAGTGAGAGACAGAATAACTAACAAAAAATCCAGAAAAACGCATGTCAAAAATGTTATAAATTGATTTGCATTTTAATGAGGGAAATAAGTATTTGACCCCTCTGCAACACGTGACATTGTACTTGGTGGCAAACCCCTTGTTGGCAATCACAGAGGTCAGGCGTTTCTTGTAGTTGGCCACCAGGTTTGCACACATCTCAGGAGGGATTTTGTCCCACTTCTCTTTGCAGATCTTCTCCAAGTCATTAAGGTTTCGAGGCTGACTTTGGCAACTCGAACCTTCAGCTCCCTCCACAGATTTTCTATGGGATTAAGGTCTGGAGACTGGCTAGGCCACTCCAGGACCTTAATGTGCTTCTTCTTGAGCCACTCCTTTTTTGCCTTGGCCGTGTGTTTTGGGTCATTGTCATGCTGGAATACCCATCCACGACCCATTTTCAATGCCCTGGCTGAAGGAAGGAAGTTCTTACCCAATATTTGATGGTACATGGCCCCGTCCATCGTCCCTTTGATGCGGTAAAGTTGTCCTGTCCCCTTAGCAGAAAAACATCCCCAAAGCATAATGTTTCCACCTCTATGTTTGACGGTGGGGATGGTGTTCTTGGGGTCATAGGCATCATTCCTCCTCCAAACAACGCGAGTTGAGTTGATGCCAAAGAGCTCCATTTTGGTCTCATCTGACCACAACACTTTCACCCAGTTGTCCTCTGAATCATTCAGATGTTCATTGGCAAACTTCAGACGGGCATGTATATGTGCTTTCTTGAGCAGGGGGACCTTGCGGGTGCTGCAGGATTTCAGTCCTTCACGGCGTAGTGTGTTACCAACTGTTTCCTGGGTGACTTTGGTCCCAGCTGTGCTGATTCCTCACCTTTCTCATGATCATTGCAACTCGACGAGGTGAGATCTTGCATGGAGCCCCAGGCCGAGGGAGATTGATAGTTCTTTTGTGTTTCTTCCATTTGCGAATAATCGCACCAACTGTTGTCACCTTCTCACCAAGCTGCTTGGTGATGGTCTTGTAGCCCATTCCAGCCTTGTGTAGGTCTACAATCTTGTCCCTGACATCCTTGGAGAGCTCTTTGATCTTGGCCATGGTGTAGAGTTTGGAATCTGATTGATTGATTGCTTCTGTGAACAGGTGTCTTTTATACAGGTGAAGTATTCGGAATGACGGCAGGAAACCCCTTGACGGGTAGCACACTTTTTATTAAACCTTGACTTGTCACGATACAACGTGTGGTCACTATTCCTCACACTACACACACTTCACTTGACACGTGTGGTCACTATTCCTCACACTACACACACTTCACTTGACACGTGTGGTCACTACCTTTCCCACTACACACTCCACTTAACACGTGTAGTTACTATGGCTCACGCTGCATGCTCACACTGCACTCCAGCTCCGTAACGTCCGTGGAGCCTCCAGGCCCACCCCAGCTTGGGCGTGGGTCACTACCTCTGGGTCCCGAGGGCCGGCCCTCACACGGACGTTCGGCCCCGGGTCCCAGGGTCCCGCCTCTGGGTCACACAGAGCCCCGGCCCTTACAAGGACAGCGGGACTAGGTGCCGCAGGGCCCTATCTCTTCCTCCTCCGTCTTCAGTCTTCGCTGGTCACAAACTCCCCCGTGCGCCTGTGCGCACCACCTTATATAGCCGCCGCTCTCGGGAGACGGAGCGTATGCGGACCTCGACGTGAGCATCCCCCTTAGTTGACCAATCCCCGCGCGCTTGTCCCAGGATCCCATCGCTGTCAGCGCGCGCCACCGATACCCAGCCAATCAGTGATCCCATCGCTGTCAGCGCGCGTCACCGATACCCAGCCAATCAGTGATCCCATCGCTGTCAGCGTGCGTCACCGATACCCAGCCAATCACTGCCTCATAACCCCCGACCCCGCGCTGACCCCTGATCCTTCACCGTCAGCGCGCGTCACCAACACACACAGCCAATCACTACGCGCTGGCACACGATTCCCACCCCAGCGCGTATCACCACTACATCACCCCCTCCCACATAGCTCGCAGCCGGCCCGGCTGCTAAACAACACAACACAACAAAACCCCACCCCCAGTGTGCCCTGTAACGCAACAACAACAACACAACGACACAACACCCGACAACAACCTATGTACAAACCGACAACCAACACAATAAAAGTCAACAACAACACACAATACCTAGACAACAAGCTATGTACACACCGACGAACAACACAATAAAAGCAAGTCCAAGGAAAAGAACGTGTCCAGTGTCTCTGTGACTATCGATCCCCCCCATCCGCTCGCTCCTCCACCGGGATGATAGAGCGGTTGGGCGGATGAGGAACACAGTGACGAGGCGCTCCGGCCGCATCGGCCCCTCATTCGGTTGGTCATGAAAAGTTGTGCGACTTAGCGCGAGTCCGCCTGGCCGGTCCATCGTATGGGACGGGACGCTGATGACCGTCTGGTGGCTCCGGCAGCCCTGGAAGGCGCGGATCGGGCCTGGAAGGACCGGCCGCGCCGCGGGGATCCGGCCGCCGGTGGTCGGCAGCTGTCAGTTCCGAGACACCTGGGAGCAGATCAGGCGGAGACATGTGAGGATCAGGCGGAGACATTTCCCCCCTTGGGTCGTCGGTCACATCACATGCTCGGCTCTCACGACACAAAGGGAAGCCATTTGGAGGCGAGAATGGTTTCAGTCGGGAGGGGTGGACGTACCAACGGCGCTTTCCCCATTTTATCTGAACACACTGGGGGCGTGCAACCCACACGACCTCCATGGGTCCCCGCCATGGCTTCAACAATTTAGGCGATGTAGCCAAAGGTGCCTGAGGGCAGTGCAGCCAGGCCCTATCGCCTAGTTTCCAGTTGTGCACGGACACCTTCCGTGCACGCAAACGCTCGTTGGCAATTTGGCGAGCCCGCGAATTAAGCCGTGCGGCCTCCCGTGCCTCGGTCAGCTTATGAATGTTAAATTTAATATGTTCAGCCAATTTCGAATTCGTTCGTGGCGCGGACAGTCCCAGCTGCGTTTCCATGGGCGGGTCGGCTTCCCGACCATACATCAGATAGAATGGGGAAAATCCCGTTGCTGCATGGGGGGCCATTCTATACGCGGCGAGGACCCCCGGGACCTGCAGGTCCCAGTCAACATGTGCCTCACACACCTGCTGGCACAGCATAGAAGTCAAAGTCCTGTGGAGTCGCTCCACCATCCCGTCTGTCTGTGGGTGGTACGGGGAGGTACGCACCTTCTTAGTACCCAATAGGTCGCACACCTCTTGCAGCAATTTACCAGAAAAAATTTTCCCTTGGTCGGTCAGCAAGCGTTCGGGGGCCCCCTTGTCCAGAACGTAGCCCTGGACAAAGGCGTCCGTCACAGCCGCCGCCGACTGGTTGGCGAGTGGCCACGCCATAGGCCACCGGGTAAAGTATTCAACACCAACCAACAGGTACTTATTTCCCCTAGGCGTGACTGGAAAAGGCCCCAAAATATCGAGTGCAACGAGCTCGTTAATGCGCGAGACCTGAATAGATTGCAGCGGTGGATTTGACGCCACGGGCGGCGGTTTTCGTCTGGCGCAATCAACACACCCCTTTAGAATATTCACCACATCGCTCCCCATCCCCGGCCAATAATAGTCACGCTGAAGCAGAGCAAGCGTTTTGTTTACTCCCAAATGCAAGGGGCGGTCATGTGCGGCCAGGACAACTTTCCCCCGCACAGCGGAAGGCACCACGAGTGCGTACCGCCGGGACAAATTGTCCCATCTCATTAACAGGCCCTGCTTGAGTACCCAGGAGCCAGTTCGCTCCCGGCCCTCCTCGGGACCCCCCGCCCTGCGACGCAACGCTAGCAGGGAGCTGTCAGCCATTTGGAGACGGCCCCACTCAATCAGCGACAGTGAGAGCAGCGAGTCCTCTCCCTCAGGGGTAGCGGGAACATCACCGATCGGTGCATCCGCGGTCGCGGCCAACGCCCCCATACTTTCCGCAGCTGGCGGTTTACAGCGCGCCGATCCCGTTAAGCACGCACATTTGTGACAAGGCGACAATCGCGACAGGGCATCGGCGTTAGTGTGGCGCAACCCCTTACGGTATGTGGTCGTGAACTGATAGTCCTGGAGGACTTCCAACCACCGTGACAATTGGCCCGAGGGTTGGGCGACCCTCAATGAATACTGAAGCGCCGCGTGGTCCGTCCAGACCGTAAAGTGATGGCCATAGAGATACGGTCTAAATTGCTGTACAAAAAAAACAATAGCCAGCAACTCGCGACGGGTGACGCAGTAGCGCTGCTCCGCCGGCGACAAAACCCTGCTACCATAGGCGACCACCCTTTCGACTCCCCCAACGACCTGTGAGAGCACCCCCCCAATGCCCGTGTTGCTAGCATCCGTGTCCAGCAAGAAGGGACTTGTAAAGTCAGAATAACGCAAGGGCGGGGCGCCCACCAGGGCGTCCCGGAGGGAGCAGAACGCGGCCTCCTCCTCCGGTCCCCATCGGAACTTGACTCCTTTTGCCGTTAGAGCGTGCAAGGGTTTTGCAATGGTGGCGAAATGCTCAATGAATCGGCGGTAGTAAGAAGCAAACCCGATGAAACTGCGCACGTCCGAAACCGACGTGGGCTTTGGCCATTAACTGACACAGTTCGTCTTCGCGGGATCGGTGGAGATCCCCGAAGAATCGACAATGTGGCCCAAGTATCTCACGGACTTACGAAGAAGGTGGCATTTGGCTGGTTTAAACTTTAATTTAGCCGATCGCATCCACAAGAACACCCCCCTCAACCGCTGGAGGTGTTCCTCAAACGTTTTACTGAAAACAATGACATCGTCTAGGTAAATCAAGCAAGTGTCCCATTGCAAGCGCGACAAAACCAACTCCATAAGGCGCTGAAACGTCGCGGGAGCGGAGTGAAGTCCCATGGGTAACCGGTTAAACTGGAACAGGCCCCCTGGAGTCCGAAATGCTGTCTTAGGTCTAGACTCGTCGTCGAGTGGCAGCTGCCAGAATCCCGATAATAAATCAAGAGTAGAAAAATATCGCGCACCGGACAATGCATCGAGGGACTCGTCCGTTCTGGGGAGCAGATACGCGTCAGCCACGGATATTTTATTCAGGCGACTGAAATCTACGCAAAATCGCAAGGACCCGTCTTGCTTTTTAACCAGCACAATAGGTGCTCCCCAAGGACTGGAAGAAGGCGAAATAATGTCGGCCGCCAGCATATCGTTGACGGCCGACTGAACGTGTTCCTTCTCCGCCGGACTCAGCCGGAAGGGGTTTAGCCTGACTGGTGCCGCATCGTCTGTTTCAATATGGTGGCGCAACAGGTCCGTGCACCCAATGTCATATTTATGCTTACTGAACACATCGGAAAATTCTATCAGCAACGCACGCAGCGCACCCAACTGTACCGTTGACAAATCGTTCGAGTCCGCGCACAGCGAATCGACCCATTCAAGGTCCTCCCCCGATGGATTGTTCTGCGTCGGCCTTGGATCAACATGCGCAACCAGGCGCTCTTCCGCAGGGATCCGTGCCGCGTGAGCTAGCACAGTGCCCTGCTGAATAACGGCCGGCCGCGAACCAGCGTTTAAAACCATCACGAACGGGTCCTTGTCAGCCCGAACCAAAGTGTGAGCCACCGACAAATCGAGACCCCCGACAGCCCTATTTGAAGGACCCAAAAGCATGCCCTGTTCCGAGGTCTCCCCAACCAATGGTTTCCTCAACCGGAGGGGAATTAACATCTGTGAACCCGGGGGCACGTGCACGGTCTGTGTCGCCAGCGCTTGTATCGTAGCGCACGCCGTCCGAATTTCGGTAGGATTCGTCAAGAATGAAATACGGCGACCCGATGGTAGCTCAATGCAACGCTGATCGATGAGAATTTTAATGGGCATTTTAGCCAAAAAATCTGTGCCCAACAGACAAGGAACCGCTAAGGAAGAAGAAACGAAAACGGGTCCCGACAATTTAATATCTCCAATGCAAATGGACGCCCTAATCTGGCCGACAATGCCCAACGAGCCCCCATTTGCCGCGTAAAATGGCACGTCCACCGGGAGTAGAGGTCGACATTGGACGGGGAGAATGTTGTAAATGAGGTCTGATATAATAGTCGCCGACGCCCCCGTGTCCACTAACACCCTGACCTCGACCCCGTCAATGGATCCCGTAACGACCGATGATCCCGCCGACGCAGCCACTATCCTGTGCCCCAACTCAGACCATTTAATGTCCCCTCGGTCTCGCACGAACCCCCCTCGCCGAACCGAATCCCCGAACCCTAACCGGCCTTCCTCCGCCGCAACGCGACGGCCCATGTGTGTCGTGCATGTAGACTGAGCATGTGAAGTGCCGCGACTTGCCGGGGGTAGTAGGGATGACTTGGGGCCTTGGTCGTCGTCCAGCCGAGGTCCCATGGCGCGCTGACGTGGAGCGCGGCAACCGGACGCCACGTGGCCCCGGAGGCCGCAGTTGTAACACGTGATGAGGGACGCCGGAGGTCTCGGTTGCTCCAGCTTGCGGGCCGATCGCAGAGGCGAACGACCCCCCGATCTCCAGTCCCCCGGTCGTCCCGCGGTGAACGCCTCCTCTCGTGGGCTGACGACTTGGGGCTCGGTGACCACCGGGCCCGGAGCTGAGGCCACGGCAGCAGTGCAGACGACCCCCCGTTTACGCTGGAGGACCTCGTGCGCCTGTATACTTGTTGCGACCCGCAAGGAGGAAATATCGACCTCGTCGGCCGTGTTGATGGGGACCCCCAGGTCCTGCGCCAACTTGAGCAGTTGCTCCAAGACCATCGCGTCCTGGCCCTCCTCGTCCATACGAGGGAACGCGGCGTCGGCGAGAGCCAACAACGCCGTGCGGTAGGCGAGCGCGGTCTCCGTGTCCGCCTTCCGTCGGACGTAAAAGTGATGGCGACACGCCGAGGGAGGTCCGTAGACCTTGGCCATGAGACCCAGTGCAGCCTTAAGCGTGGAGCGGTCCGACCTCTGTGCGGACCTGAAGGCCGCGAGCGCGTCGTCGTCCAACATGGCAGGCAGTGCCCGCAGCGCCGTAGCGTCGGACCAGGCCGACATTTCCTGATGCGCCAGAAACCTGCGCTGGAATGCGCCCCAGTCTCCGCCTTCCGCCTTGAAGGCTGACAATGTGGGAAGGCGCTGCTGGAAGATGAAGTCGTCCTCTGCCACGTGGTTCCTCTCCGCCGCACCGTCAGTTTGCAAGATGGCGGCCCCAATGGCGGGTGGCTGATGGCGGTCCGCAGCGCGCATTGATGACGTAAGCGGGCGCGCTTGGAGAACCGCCGCCACGTGTTGCTCGCCGTTCCCGCCAAAAGATGTCCGCGCAGTTGAAATGGCGGGAATCGCCAAGTCATTTTGGCGGGAATCTGCGGGGCGACCCTGTTGAATGTCCGCCGACGTCCCCGCTCCTCCCGACGAGTTGATTTCTGCCAGGATGGACGCGGCGGCGAGCAGCAGCTCTGCCAGACGGGAGTGCGCCTCGCGGAGTACGGCATCGGTCCCCAGTCGCTCGTCCGGCGCCCTCGTCGGATCCTGCGGCGTCGGCATTTCCTCGTCCTCTCCCCCCGATGCCAGTTGGCCCGAGTCGTCAAGGTTATCCTCGCGGTCAATCCCGTGAGTCCGACGGGTCTTCCTTGTATCCATGCCTGGAAGACTGTTTCACTTCTGACGCCAGTTGAAGTATTCGGAATGAGGGCAGGAAACCCCTTGACGGGTAGCACACTTTTTATTTAACCTTGACTTGTCACGATACAACGTGTGGTCACTATTCCTCACACTACACACACTTCACTTGACACGTGTGGTCACTATTCCTCACACTACACACACTTCACTTGACACGTGTGGTCACTACCTTTCCCACTACACACTCCACTTAACACGTGTAGTTACTATGGCTCACGCTGCATGCTCACACTGCACTCCAGCTCCGTAACGTCCGTGGAGCCTCCAGGCCCACCCCAGCTTGGGCGTGGGTCACTACCTCTGGGTCCCGAGGGCCGGCCCTCACACGGACGTTCGGCCCCGGGTCCCAGGGTCCCGCCTTTGGGTCACACAGAGCCCCGGCCCTTACAAGGACAGCGGGACTAGGTGCTGCAGGGCCCTATCTCTTCCTCCTCCGTCTTCAGTCTTCGCTGATCACAAACTCCCCCGTGCGCCTGTGCGCACCACCTTATATAGCCCCCGCTCTAGGGAGACGGGGCGTATGCGGACCTCGACGTGAGCATCCCCCTTAGTTGACCAATCCCCGCGCGCTTGTCCCAGGATCCCATCGCTGTCAGCGCGCGCCACCGATACCCAGCCAATAAGTGATCCCATCGCTGTCAGCGCGCGTCACCGATACCCAGCCAATCAGTGATCCCATCGCTGTCAGCGCGCGTCACCGATACCCAGCCAATCACTGCCTCATAACCCCCGACCCCGCGCTGACCCCTGATCCTTCACCGTCAGCGCGCGTCACCAACACACACAGCCAATCACTACGCGCTGGCACACGATTCCCACCCCAGCGCGTATCACCACTACACAGGTAACAAGCTGAGATTAGGAGCACTCCAATTAAGAGTGTGCTCCTAATCTCAGCTCGTTACCTGGGAGCCAGAAATCTTTTTGATTGAGAGGGGGTCAAATACTTATTTCCCTCATTAAAATGCAAATCAATTTATAACATTTTTGACATGCGTTTTTCTGGATTTTGTTGTTGTTATTCTGTCTCTCGCTGTTCAAATAAACCTACCATTGAAATTATAGACTGATCATTTCTTTGTCAGTGGGCAAACGTACAAAATCAGCAGGGGATCCAATACTTTTTTCCCTCACTGTATAATGACGAACCCTTTTTTTTGCCATTCGTAGCCCAAATTATTATTTCACATTTTGCACAATTGAACTTGCCCATTTAGACAGCATAGGTCAAGACAAGCAGGCTGGACTGTGGGATATGACAGTAAATATGGGCTGTATTTAAAAATTTTGCAACGAAGTGCCTCATCTGCAGGTAAGATAGCATTTCCTTTGAATACTCCCCCAGTACCAACCGAGTCTATTCCTCACTTCTCTCCCAAGTTTCTCGCCCTCATTAACTCTAACTGGCCTCTCTATTGATGTGCTTTAAAGAAAGGCCTTTGTCAGAATTGTTGCTTATTATATATATTGAGTTTTTTTTATTGTGCATGACATGGTAATTATGTACATTTAGCAGTAGAGTAGCTATTCCTTCAGTGTATACAAATACGTCTTAGTGCTCTCTAGCTTCAGGGTTATATCGAAGTTGCGTTTGTGCATAGAATGGGTTTGCCTCGCTTTTTGGTTCTGTTTGTGCGATTTTGCGTAAATTTACCTCAACTTTTTCTACCCACAATTCGCCACGTGGTTTAAATTCAATGATATGCAGCTATGCGGTCGGAAGTGGTACAACATTGTGTGTGTACTCTTTGCGCTACTTGGCATGCATCTGTCTTGTGTGGTTCATTGTAGGTTGGGTGACTGTGGCTTATGCTCTGTGGTTTTGCTTTGTGTCCCGTTTTTCGAATGCATCTACTGCAAAAAGCAAATGAATCTGTAAATGTAATTTAAATCAGTTCACTGCACGTGCCCTCCCTGGCAAAGCCACAATCTCTTTGCGCCATTCTCTTACTGTGGCCTCGGGACATACTACTTTTACGTTTACTTTTGAGTACAAACTCACATTGGAAAACATTACAGAACCAAAGCCCAAAAATGTTGTGTTTTCCTCATTCTCTGTTGCTGTTTTACAGTGCCACCTAAAGTGAATGCCTCAGTGCTTGCAAAGACCACGACAACCATGACCATCTCATGGCCCACCAATCCTTGGGATGTGGACTACTTCATTGTCATCTTAAATGAAACTAATACTTCCGTAATTCACACCCTCAATGTATCATCTAGCCCTGCGACATTTACGTATCTGGTACCTGGCAGCAATTACAGTGCATCTGTAGTATCTCACAGCGGGAGAAATGCCACACCATCAGACATAATCTCAGACAGAACATGTAAGTACTTAAATTGGCTCATCCATTATTGATTCCATTACATTTCTGATATGTTACACATAATCGATGCAATTACCTGACTGTGAGTGGTAAGATGCCCCATTAGAAACTGTTTCAACGAGGGAAAATACTATGCTTAAAAGCCCCACTGTCATACATGTCAACGCCTTATCTATGCCTACCTTATTGCAGACCAATTCAGATATTATTGGTCACCCTGTGCCCTTATAAATATCAACGTTCATGCTACAAAGTCCCATCACAAGGGAGAAATATAAACAGACAAAAATATATACATAAATGTTTCCCGTATTGAAACGGCTGTACGCCGTTTGGACCTTAACTCAATTTCTCTGCACAAGAATACGGGTAAAACATATGGGTTGACAGGTATGCACTGTGCAACAAACTGTGGTGTTTATTTCCCACAGGTGTTGCACTGTATAAACATAGCATGATGCGGTAATGACTTAGTGCTCTGTCATGGTATTAACTACCCAGATATTTCCTGATGTTAATGCTTATGATTGTTTTATGACTGTGAAGATGGTGACAGTCAACATTTCATGGACATTCTTCTTTCCCCAGATCCAGCAACTGTCAGAGACTTTTATTGCTTCAAGTATTCCACGGAGAATATTTCCTGCAGTTGGTCTCTCCCCATTGGCGTGTGGAGCTTGCTGTACCTGGAAGTGATTAATGGCAATACTCTATTGCAGACTGTGAGCATTTCAAATGAAGAGCCCTTTTTCATAACCATATATCCTGTGGGCGATCCGATTGTAGAGCAACAAGGATTAGGAACTACCAATAGAACATTTGCCATGCTTGGACGTCTGAATCCGAACACTGAATATCAAGTCAATATTACCACCCACTCACGAGATCTGTACAGTGAAACTATACAAGGAAACGCAAATACCTACGTAGGCGGTAGGTTCGTTGATTTTATTGATATTTGAGTGCCCGTGATTTGTGTGGCTTGTGCCAATATACGAACGCATCCATCTGTCACACCATTATAAATGGGTGCAATGTACTTTATAGTTGGCCAGGTGGTCGAATGGCAAGGGTCCACTGTCCAGGCACCTCCCTCCAGCCCCTCTGAGCTATATCACCACATTTTTACTTTCTAATCTGTGGCTATCTCTAAAATGACACCTCACCACATTTGTGTGAATACTGTAGTTTCTAAGTTATCATCATGATATAAACCCAACAATCTAGATTTGAAGTTTTCGTGACTACAGGGAGCCATACTCTTTGGTTCCTTCGGATTCAGTTTTAGCTTCATTTATTTGGTATAGCCCTGTGAGCCATACGGCTCTTGAATCAGGTGCAACTGCAACAAACAAAACACATAAACAAGAAAACATCTTAAAGTGACTACGTGACAATGTGCAAACAGCAAATCCAGGAAAAAACCGTACACATTTTACAGAAAAAGCATCGGACACCAACACTGTGTGCAAAAATCCCAGTGGGATGCAAGTCAAACAACAACCACAAGACAACTTAGATTTAGGTCATCAGTCTAACTCCGTAGTACAACAAACAAACATGGCCACACCAAAAAACGCTTTCAAAAATCACCAAAATAAAGACATAAAAGCAATGTAACAGTGATCATAGGAACTGTGACCGAATTTTCACAATAAAGTCACATAGGTAAAATATATATTTTTTACTTACGTGACTTTACCGAAAAGATCCAAAAAGTCTAAACCCAACAACTTGAGATCCTGTCAATAGCTAACAAAGGTATAGTTCTGGGCCTCCCCGTGCTCGACTAAGCCTGATGTAGAGGTGTAATTGCGCATGTCTACGAATGTTGAGGTGTGATTATGCATGGCCACGGATGGCCAACAAACACAAGGGGCGGGGTTACGGCCGTACACAAGGGTGGCGCTCGCACCGACGTCCGCATGTGTATCCCCCACGGGCCTCCCCTTGGGGGCAAGTCCTATAAAAGGTGATGAGCCGAAAGGCTCGGGAGTCGGGACTCAGCTATAACCAGAGAAGACGGAAGACCAGCTAGTGTAGGCCCCAGAGCTCCCCTGGCTCGCTGTCCTTATAAGGGCCGACCAGGGCAAGCCGGTGGCGTGGCCCCGAGAGCCCAGACGAAGCTGGTCTGGTGACTCAGGGAGCCGGGATCCCAGCTTAACCAAGCTGGGACAGATAGCCTCCCCAGTCCCGTAGTGGAGGAATTGGTATAGGTTAGAGGGGTTAGCTGTCGAGAAATCCCTGTAGCCCAGTGACCTGTAAATAACTGTGTTGGTGTAATAAATAAGTGTGCCTCCGATCCTGTCGTCAAGCCTCCATATACTTACTACATCTGGTGTCAGAAGTAAAACGTCCAAACGATGGACACACGAGGGACGACACGTACCAAGGAGTCGGAGATGGAAGACGCCGCGGCCGATTCAACACCAGAGATGGCCGGGGTCGGATCGGAGCAGCCGGGGCCAAGTACGCCCGTGCCGCTACGACAAGAGGGGGGGGGATGCGTCGGCTGAAGGACTCCGGCTGGCCCACTCCCGCCTGGCGGAACTGCTCTACGCCGCCGCCGCTGCGTTGGAGGAGATCACGCGGTTGGGGGCTGGAGGGGCAGCGCGGGTCGACGACAGCAGCCGGCGCGCGGCAACGTTTCCCGCCACCCCGACGCGGCTGGCGGTTAAATTTCCCGCCATCTCTACAGTGCGAGCGGACGGCGGGGCCGGCCCGCGTCACGTGACTGCTGAGCGCCAAGCACAAGCCGTGACATCATCAACACCGGCCGGCGCGTCAACATCGGAGCAACCGGCGATGCCATGTGCACAGCCCGCCCACACTGTATCATCGGCGGGGAGCGACGGAGAGCGATCTACAGCCACGGGCGTCGCCTTGCAGCAGCGTCTGCCACCTCTGAAAGAATTCGTAGGCGCAGACGGAGACTGGGGCGGCTTCAAGAGACGGTTCATCGCTCATCAGGAGATGGCGAACTGGACGGACGCCGAGGCTCTACGCGCGCTGCCAGCGATGCTGGACAACGACGCCCTGGCTACCCTCACCTCGGCGCCGAGGGAAAAGCGCGCCACCCTACACCTGGCGTTGCAGCTGCTGTCAGCCGTCTATGGGCCGCCTTCGGACTGCAGGCAGCTTTTCCACGATCGGCGTCGGGGCACCAACGAATCACCTCTGGCCTTCCGGACTGCTCTCCTGGCTCTAGCGAAGGCTGCTTTCCCAAGGATGGACGAGGAAGGAGTGGATGCCATGGTGGCTGAGAAGCTGCTGCTACTCGCTGATGAGCTGGACGTCAACGTCCTGGCTCAAGACGACTCAGAGATGTCGTCCCTGCTGGTCGCGCGCCACATCCACGGGGGCTTGCGGTCCCTTTGTCGAAAGGCGGCAAAGGGGGCGGCCAGCCATGCCATGGCGGCTACCGCCCTCCCATCGGAGGAGGTCTGCGGGGTGGAGCGGCGAGGGGAATGGAGAGCGGCAGTACCACAGGCTCGGAATGGACCGAGCCGCCAGGAGCAGCCCAGGACATCGGGGGCGCTCACACGCTGCTACAACTGTGGCCTGCAAGGCCACGTTGCGTCAGGATGCCGGGCTCCCCGTCAGCGCGGGGCGACACCTCGTCAGGACGCCACGCCGTCTCCTCCCAAGCTCCAGCAGAGAAATACGGCGAGTCGCGGCACCTCACACGTTTGGCCCACGCACACATCCGACACACACTCACGCGCCCAACTAAACAGGGCTCCAAATTCCCCATCCGTCGCGCGCGATCGTTCGGAAATGCGGCGGGCGCTCCAACCGGGTCAGTGGTCGGAGCTCGCCCATCGTGTCGTTGCTGCGTCGGCGGGATCTTCGGTCGTGGTCGGTCACATTGATGGGGTAGAGGTGCGGATTTTAATGGACACAGGGGCATCGGCGACCATTATATCTGATTTAATTTATAACATCCTTCCCGTTCAAAGTCGTCCCTTGCTCCCTGTTGACGTGCCGTGCTATGCCGCTAACGGGGGCTCTCTGGGCATTATTGGCCAAATCCGCGCCACTATCTGCATTGGGGACATTAAATTATCCGGGCCTGTTTTGGTTTCCTCCTCACTCGCGGTTCCGTGCCTGTTGGGGACGGATTTTCTGGCAAAAATGCCAAACCGCATCCTTATTGACCAAGGGTGCATTGAGCTCCCATCGGGCCGACGCGTTACATTTCTGTCTTCCCCCACCAAGGAGCGTCGGGCGTTTGCCACCGTGCAGGCGCTCGTCACAAAAACTGTGCGCGTGCCTCCGGGGGCTCAGATGCTCGTCCCTCTTAGATTGCGTCGGCCGTTTAATGAAGGGGTTGCGGATCGGGGGGTCTTGTTGGGACCATCTCGGGCCGGGGTAAATGGACCAGATTTGCTCGCGGCTCAGACCATGGTGAGAGGGGATGGGGACCCCTTCATTGCAGTCCTTAATGTGGGATCGCGAACGGCCGTGGTTCCTCAAGGGACCGTGCTTGCACACGCAACGCCGGTACCCTATGAGGAACCACTCGTGGGTCAGGTATCCACTGATCCTCCGTCGCGACCGCATTCGGACTGTGATGACGGTTGGCTGGATGCGCTTTGCGCGGGTTCAGTGGACCTGTCCGACTCGCAGCGCGCGCAGCTGCGAGTTCTTCTGAGCGAATTTGCTGACGTTTTTAGTCAACACAAATTTGATATTGGTTGTACTAAATTGCTGCGACACCATATTGACACGGGTGACAGCGCGCCAATCCGCCAAAATCCCTTTCGGTTGAGTCCCGCCGAAAAGGATCATGTCAAATCGGCTGTTGATGACATGCTAGCCGCCGATATCATTTCCCCTTCCAATAGCCCGTGGGGCGCGCCGATCGTTTTGGTGAAAAAACACGACGGATCACTGCGGTTTTGTGTCGACTTTCGGCGTCTGAACAAAATCTCTGTGGCAGATGCGTACCCGCTTCCTCGAATGGATGAGTCGCTCGATGCCTTGGCGGGGGCGCGATTCTTTTCCACCCTCGATTTGCTATCTGGATTCTGGCAGCTTCCTCTGGATGACGAATCAAAACCTAAGACTGCTTTTTCGGACACCGCAGGGTCTCTTCCAATTTAACCGCTTGCCGATGGGTTTACATTCTGCGCCGGCAACTTTTCAGCGGTTAATGGAATTGGTCTTGGCAGGGTTGCAATGGGATTCGTGTTTGATTTACTTAGACGATGTCATCGTCTTTAGCAAATCCTTCGAGGAACACCTCCAGAGGTTGCGTGCTGTTTTTCTCAAAATGCGGGCTGCCAATTTGAAATTTAAACCACAGAAGTGCCATTTACTCCGCGAATCGGTGCGATATTTGGGTCACATTGTTGGGCGCTCGGGGATATCCACTGATCCCGCCAAAACGGAATGCGTCAGCTCCTGGCCGACTCCCACCTCTGTGGGAGAGGTCAGGAGTTTCATTGGGTTCGCGTCGTATTATCGGCGATTTGTGGCTGACTTCGCTACGATTGCGAAACCTTTGCATGCCTTGACGTCCAAGGGAGTCAGGTTTCATTGGGGGCCGGAGGAGGAGGCTTCTTTTCGCGCCCTCCGGAATGCTTTGGTGGGGGCGCCGCCGTTGAATTACCCGGATTTTTCACAACCCTTCTTGCTCGATACAGATGCAAGTAACACGGGCATCGGGGGCGTGCTGTCCCAGCTCATTGGGGGCGTAGAGCATGTGGTGGCTTACGGTAGTCGGGTACTGTCTCCAGCCGAACAGCGGTACTGCGTTACCCGTCGGGAATTATTAGCGATTGTTTATTTCATTCAGCAGTACCGCCCGTATCTGTACGGTCGGCGGTTCACCGTCCGTACAGATCATGCGGCCCTACAATACGCCCTGCGGGTTCAACAACCATCGGGCCAGTTGTCTCGATGGTTGGAGATTCTCCAAGACTATGACTTTGTCACCACATATCGTAAGGGTCTCCGCCACACGAACGCTGACGCCCTGTCGCGATTGCCACCCACTTCGGAGTGCGCGTGCCTCTTGGGTTCGGGGCGTTGTAGGTCTCCGAACGTCACCACCGATTCGGTCCTCGTGGCCGCTGCCGATGCACCTTCGGTTTCGGGTCCTATCGAGCAAGAAGGGAGGGATTCGTTGCTGGGGTTGTCAGTCGCGGAATGGGGTCGCCTCCAAATGGAGGACACCTCCCTCCTCGCTCTGCGCCGTCGCGCCGGGGGGATTGGCCAGGGGGTGGAAAACGTTGACTCGTGGGGGTTGTTCCAGGGACTTTTAATGCACTGGAATGGTAAAACCCGGCGCCAGCGGCTCGTGGTGCCTGCTGCTTTAAGGGGTAAGGTGGTATGGGCTGTTCATGAGCGGCTTCTGCACTTGGGGGTTCATAAGACCTTTGCCACGCTCCAGCTAGATTTCTTCTGGCCGGGCATGGAAAAGGACGTGGGGGACCTCTTGGGGTCGTGCACGCAATGCGCGCAGAGGAAGCCACCTGCTAGGGGGTCCAACCCTCCGCTGCAGTCCATAAAAGTTTCCAGGGTTAACGAGCTCGTCGCTCTGGACATACTTGGCCCATTTCCCGCTACACCCAGGGGCAATAGGTATTTACTAACGGGGGTTGAATACTTCACGAGATGGCCTATGGCCTGGCCCCTGGCGAACCAATCGGCAGCAGCCATCGCGGAGGCATTTGTCCAGGGCTATGTCCTCGACAAGGGTGCTCCGGAACGGCTGCTTACTGACCAGGGTAGGAATTTTTCTGGTAAACTCCTACGTGAGGTGTGCGACCTCTTGGGTACGGAGAAGGTTCGGACCTCTCCGTATCACCCACAAACTGACGGGATGGTGGAATGGCTGCATCGGACCATCACGTCCATGCTGTCCCAGCAGGTGTCGGTATCCCAGACGGATTGGGACCTCCGCATAGCCGGTGTGTTGCAGGCCTACAGAATGGCTCCCCATGCGGCCACCGGATTTTCCCCTTTCTTTTTAATGTATGGGCGCGAAGTTAACCCTCCTGTGGCGACCCAGCTGAAGCTCTCGGCGCTCCAGGCGAAGTCTAAGTTGTCCGAACACGTTAAATTTAACATCGCTCAATTGTCTGAGGCGCGGGAAGCGGCCGTGCAAAATTCTGAACTCCGCCAGAAGGCGAACGAGAGGCTTCGGTTGGGGCGGGTGCAGGTGGTCAAATGGGTACCAGGGGACAGGGCGTGGTTGCACTGTCCTCAGGTGCCGCTGGCAACCTCGTCGAAATTGGTACGGCCGTGGCGGGGGCCAGTGGAGGTCGTGCAGGTTTTGCGGCCGCAATGTGTTCGCGTCAAATGGGGGAGGCGCCGGTGGTATGTGCACCCCTCAAGGTTAAAACCATTCGTCACGCCGCCCCGGGGTTCACACACACACACGCATGGCCAAACGTGTGAGGGTGTCGCCGACTCCCCGTCGTCGCTGCACTCGCCTAACCTGACGCCAACTGTTCCGCCCCCAGGTGAAACAGGAGTGACGGGCCCACGCCCACCAACCCCTCCCGGAGGGGTCGGGGGTCACTCGGCAGCGGAGCCTGACCCTCTTGCACCCGGACCGTCAACAACCGTCACTGAGCGTGCCGGGACGGGCCCTTGTGACGGACCCGCCGCGAGAACGCGCGCCAAAACGCGCAGACTTTTGTGAGGTCGGCCGTTGGGGGGCCTTGCGGACAAAAGGGGAGGGGTGTTGTGAGGTCGGCCGTTGGGGGGCCTTGCGGACGATGGGAAAGGTGACGTCCGGAGTGTATATATATGTTGGTTTTGGGGTGTTATCCGGGGGGGGTGCGTCGGGTTATTTTTTTTTTTTTCTCTCTCTCTCTCTTCCTCTCGTTGTTCTTGTTCTTGTTAAAAATTACGCGAGGCACACACGGGGTTTTTGTGAGGGATGCACCTTTATTCTGATTTTTTTTTTTTGCAGCCGGGGACGGCTGCGAGCTGTACAGGGGGGGGTGATGTAGAGGTGTAATTGCGCATGTCTACGAATGTTGAGGTGTGATTATGCATGGCCACGGATGGCCAACAAACACAAGGGGCGGGGTTACGGCCGTACACAAGGGTGGCGCTCGCACCGACGTCCGCATGTGTATCCCCCACGGGCCCCCCCTTGGGGGCAAGTCCTATAAAAGGTGATGAGCCGAAAGGCTCGGGAGTCGGGACTCAGCTATAACCAGAGAAGACGGAAGACCAGCTAGTGTAGGCCCCAGAGCTCCCCTGGCTCGCTGTCCTTATAAGGGCCGACCAGGGCAAGCCGGTGGCGTGGCCCCGTGAGCCCAGACGAAGCTGGTCTGGTGACTCAGGGAGCCGGGATCCCAGCTTAACCAAGCTGGGACAGATAGCCTCCCCAGTCCCGTAGTGGAGGAATTGGTATAGGTTAGAGGGGTTAGCTGTCGAGAAATCCCTGTAGCCCAGTGACCTGTAAATAACTGTGTTGGTGTAATAAATAAGTGTGCCTCCGATCCTGTCGTCAAGCCTCCATATACTTACTACACTTATATGACTGCCTGGTGAAGTATTAAACGTCAGCACTGGTGACGCTTGTGGAACTGGCCTCGTCAAACTCTCTCGTGCGCCCGTTCTCACTTCAGTTAGCTGCTCGTTAAGAGCCCTTCCCTGGACAGGCTTTAAAATACATATCAGGGATTTTGTTTTGTGAGGTGCAGTGATTGTTTTGGACACTGCACTATGAACCTGGTGACCAGAGTTCATTATCTGACACAGTGGCGAGTGATAACCAACACCGGCCTGAGGACCCCCCCCCCACTTCACTACCCCGCACTGAGCAGCATGTCGAAGTACGGTCAAGCAATGTCCATTCCTTCATCCAGCAGTGGATGAACAAATTTCTCTCAATGACTACAGTTTGTGTAACTGTACTTATGTCCAAACCTCCCGTGCTCATGTGGCCAGCTCCTCCACTTGTTCCGAACACGGTGGTCATCACAACGGTGCAGAACCAGGTGACACTGAGCAGCCTGACCGTCTCCTTCAGCTGCAGCTGGTTCCAGAACACAAACGGCGACCTCAAGTATTACACGGTCATCGTCAAGCAGTCTGAGGGTAATGCAATGGACGTGCCAGGAATATGGCTCGGTCACTTCATTCATGCACGACTAAAATGAGATTTCACTTTCTACCAGGGGGAATGAGATGAGACGTTAGAGCACTTGCTGAGTATGTGAGAGGTAGTGGGATCAATGTTCGCATCTTCCAATCTGTTCTATAACGCGGTGGTAGTTTCGTTCCTGAAGGACACTGCATTATGGGAAAATCGCGTTTAAAGAAATAATATATATAGGGTAAAACACAGTCTCCGATAACATGTGCATGGGTAGCATCCAGCAGCACCCGCATTACGCGATGCTACGTCGAGTCAGCCGCAGAACCACTAATTTCTACTCACTCACGTAGCGTCGTTATGCTCAATTGTGTTATATCCAGTTCGCATCCGGTTAATAAAAAAATGTGTTTCCTAATACATTCGCGTTTATATCCAATTCCCGTTATGAAAACACGTTTATCCAGGTAGTGGTAGCTATGCAGACCTGTAATTCACAACATTGGAGGCCAGGGTTGGAGGATTACACAAGTATAGTGAAACACCGTATCCAGTAAGGTCCTGGTCACGTACTCTCACTCGCCAGGAGAAGGCATCTGTATGAAACGGTCTTGCCCTCCGTGCATTTTCTCTAGGTACACCGGTTTCCCCCTTTATGTAAATACCCATAATTGACCGATAACACCTTAATCGAGAGATAACTGCAGAGCTAGCCTGGGGTGGGGGGGTTTCTGGGTCTCAATTTGCTGCCAGCTCACTTCCTGGCTGCTGCATTTTCATCTTGTCGGTGGTTCCTTCTTGCACCTCTGAGTCCTTCTCCATCTGCGTGAGCGAGCAAATGGTGGGTGGCGAATTACGAGTTGAAATTGTTAAGTGTTTTTTCTTTACTTTAAGCAAAACACAGGTCCGTTACAGCACATCATGAGACTCGTATGACTCAATGTAGCCTGATTGCGCGGGATATTCCCAATGCATTTGGGGGGGGGGGTAACTTATTGGTAGAGGGGGCCTGCTGCTCCATTCAGTAGGGAACCTCGAGGAGGGGAAAGGGTTTCCATCAAGAGAAGTGGGGGTGGGGGGAATTGTTATGGTTATGAATAACCGTAGTACAGTAATCCCTTGTCAACCGCGAAGGGTTAGGTTCCTGAAATCCCTCGGGGTTGGTAAAGTGCAGGGCCTATGAGAAAGTGGGTTTGGCGAAACATCGCCACAGTCAGACACGTCATAGTTTAACTAAGTTTCCTGTTCATTAACTAAGCACTGAATAAAATGCAATACATTACACAATAACATAATAAAACATTACCTTTACATACCTTCAATATGAACAGATGATGACGATAATAATGATGGGGGAAGGGCTGGTTAGAAGGAGTGGCTCAACCCACCCTCCCCCTCTTCGTCTGGGCCACAGACACAATACTATCATCACTTGCTGCATGCTTCGGATCCATTATTAAGGATAATATTAATGTGTACTATACAATATGTACAATAAAACAGATGGTCAGCTGATCAGCTAAGCAGTGCCACGGTCCCATGAAAAGTGTAAGAATGATGTCACGGTACACAATGTCATTCTGTACATCATGTCATTTCCTGAACACCGTGCTTACCCGTGGATACTCAAATTTCTAGGCCGCGGTTGCTAAATTGGTATACTGTAAAATTATTTCGTGAGAAGGAGTGTGAATCTGACCGACGGAGGAGGTAGCAACATGGAGAAGATTGGGTAACTACTGGCCAAGAGGGTTGCCTCGCGTCTCACAGGAGTCTGCGAGACAATATGGCGGATACTATGCGGTAGCGCCAATTTTGATTTCACTACTCAGCGTGACTCGCAATTTGTGTATAATCAAACTGAGATGCTCGTGGTACGAAAACAAGTAAATCCATGTACACTTACATCTCATGGTTGGTAAACAGGTATATAGAAGTAAATCCGCATATACTTAAATCTCGCAGTGGATACATTTGCGGTTGCCAAGGGATTACTGTTTATACACATTTTAAATCTAAAGTGCAACTTTTCCTGTGCAATTTTGTGCCATGTATACGGCGGAATCCACTCATGAATCACTAAATCCAATCACACAGGAACCCAAGTCGAGAGTCCAGAGAAGAGGTGGCCAATGAGCAGGTACTATGATAATGGCAGCACGGACGCGTACCAGGTGGAGGATCGCGTCTACCCGTCTGAGTGCTCCAACTCCAACTCCACCGCCAACGTCCAAATTGGCACCGGTAGATCGAACGGCAATTTCTATGATGCACCCTTGAAGCAAAACACTTCGTACAGGTATGTCCTGGCTGTGCATTAGCTTATTCAATAAATGATATCCCACTATAATGTTGATGTGATGTTCCGATAAGCAGTGTGATATCACGTAGTCACATGAGCAGGTGCCTTGACCAGACCTGCATAGAACACGTTTATAAATTAAATGGCCAATTTACTCAGAAAATAAACTTCTGATTCTGAGACATTAAACTTGTGCAGTTTTCCTTGACCGACAGTTGCCTGAGATAATCTGCCATACTGATCTGCTGCTAATATCCTTGGTTATCAGGATGCACTCGTGGTAAACGAAATACTATATAAAGAGCTATAGGTCATTATAACAATGGTTCCAATGGAGACTTGTTAGCGATAGCACTATATATTTTTATTAATAAGCGATATACGAGGGTTTCTTTGGGGTATCGGTATACTATTTAATAGCCTTAATAATTCTACTTTTACATCTGATAAATATATTAAAGCATAATATAAATAAAAATAACTTAATGGTGACATAAAAATTAAATAAGTTATGTACTCACCAGATTAACCAGTCTGTCGTAAATACACATTCCGCGGAAAGCTGAACTAACCAATGTGATTACTCGATCCATGTTTGACCTCATGCATGTGGTTAATGCAGACTTGCTGCCTTGCAATAGGTGTCTTTTGTGTTTGAACATCTTAACACCTTCTGTATAATTGCCTTTTCCTAATTCCCCACTCATCAGGCGTCTAAATTCCTACGCCCATTCTCGTGTTCTTCCACCTTGTCCATTATGACTATTCAGGCTCAGTTTCCGCGTCTACACGTACCTTCCAAATGCACGCTCCATCCGCGCTGGAGGGGTAGCCATCTACACGGACACACTCTTCTCTCCACCGCTTAGGACCTTAGCAGGTGGCATTGAGAGTAAGTATCCCAACTACTGCCATTCCGCATGAAAACATCCAGTTTGTGTATGTGTAGTGACTAACTCGCAGACGATAAGACTTGGAGGCACTTCTTCATTAACAAAGGGTTAAAACACTTAATAATTAGTCCGTCTATTGTCGGCGACGCTACTCAGCCAGGACAGTTGGTAGGTTGCCTGACTAGCAGCGCCCCAAGATAGTAAAGACGGAGACCACGACAAGACAAATGGTGAAGATGACGAGAAGAATGGTGAAGACGACGAGAAGGATGGTGAAGACGACGAGAAGAATAGTGACGAAGAACTTCAGCAGCACGACGGGGATCCCATTCCAACAACAGCCCCGAGGTCCCCTACAGGGCCCCCTCTTATACTGTCAGTGTGGCCTCGCTCCGCTCCTTGCCACGCCCCTACTAGCACGTTCCTGGTGTGCCCCTTCTGTGACCTTTCACCTAGATCCCCCTCTCGTGTATATCCTGGCCTGCTGACGTCAGGACTGCTGTATGTCGCAGATCCCCTTTTCTGCCAGCCGCCAGTGCTATGCCACTTCATCACCTCCCACCCCTCCCCGTGAAAAACACAGTTGTCTCGGCTGACACCAATCACATATAGAGAGGGCGAACTCACAAGAATGTGCTAAATCAATTAAGCTAACATGGAGGGATAATGAACTTTAGATGATATATTTTTTAACTATGAACCCGAACCGCATGGAAGTGAACAATTTTCGACGATCGCTGGCATGCCGCAGCCCACAAGCATCGGGAAGGACCCCAGATCAACCAGTGGCCACAGCCGGGCTCGCGTCTGTGGCCACCCACCAGATGGTGACGGAACTCAATTGAACAACAGAAAGGGAGCGGTTAATCGAAACGAAGCACTCTTTGAACATGTCCTCATCGCCAGACCCACAGCTGGGATGGGAATTGGTGTGCTGGGAACGCCCGGGACACTACACAAATGACCTAACGGGCACGGCCCCTCCCGGGAAGAAGAAGATGGCAACCGGTCACTCACACCCAGTCCGTCCTTTGGAGGTGCTGCCAGATGGTCTGTGGGCGTTAGGCGCTGGAATCCTGTGGGCGATACAATGGAATCCTTCTGACACGTAACTTCCGGGCTCGCCCACCCCAGCTCGTCAAACACATCAGACACCCGGCACTCAGGAAGTACAGATGAACTGTCAACATAGGGTGGAATATAGGGTTTCAACCGTTTCAGGTGCACAAACCAGCGACAGCGACTGACCTGTATACGCATGCACTGTGGCCTCATGACCTCAATCACGTCAACAGGGCCCTGCCATGGCCGGTGCAATTTAGGGGATGTGCCCAGGGGCACTTGGGGACAATGCAACCATGCCTTGTCCCCAGCGGTCCATGGGGTCCCGTACTCCCATAGTCCTACAGGTTTTTCATTCGTGGCCTGTCGTTTAGCCGAATTCCCTCGAGATGCCTCCTGCGCCTCCATCAGCCACCTAATCGTGACCTGCATGGGCATAACGGTCTTTTTGCCCATGTCCATGCCAAACTGAGCCTCCATGGGGGGTTCACGTTCTCTCCCATACATTAGGTAAAACGGGGAGAATCCTGTTGAGGCGTGAGGGGCCATCTTGTACGCAGCCAGAACACCAGGAATGTATAAGTCCCAGTCCGACTGTGCCTCATTAACCGGTTGGCACAACATGGATGTAAGGATCCTGTGCAAGTGCTCCACCAACCCGTCCGTCTGGGGATGGTAGGGCGATGTACGGATTTTTTTTAATTCCCAGAGAATTGCACACCTCCCTTAACAATTTTGAAGAAAAATTTCGTCCCTGATCCATAAGAAGTTGTTCCGGAGCCCCTTTGTCCAAAACATACCCATGCAGGAATGCATCCGTAATGGATGCGGCCAACTGGTCTGGCAGAGGCCATGCCACCGGCCACTGGGACAGATATTCTACCCTGACAAGGAAGAATTTGTTTCCCCTCTGAGCGGCAGGAAATGGCCTGAGGATGTCCAGAGCAACTAGTTCGTTAACACGAGACACCGTGATGGATTGTCACGGTGGCTGGACCTGCCTTGGTGGCGGCTTGCGGCGAGCGCAGTCAGTACAACCTCTGACAATGTGATACACGTCGTCCGTCATCCCGGGCCAAAATAAGTTACGCTTCAGTGTCAGCAAGGTTTTACAAACTCCAAGGTGCATTAATTTCTCGTGGACAGCCCGTGTGAGTTTACCCTGCAGAGCAGTCAGCACCACCATACAATAACGTTGCAGCCACTCATCCCACCTCATCAAAAGTCTTTAATGGAGGACTATAAGGGACATTCCCACTGGCACATTTTTACTACCTCTCGCCCCAACGCGACGCAGCAACTTTAACAAAGGGTCGTCCTCCGCCTGGAAGCGTCCCCATTCAGCGTGCATGAGACCAATTGTGCTGTCACAATGAGCAGTTGTCTCGGGTGGTTTTTCATCGACGGATGCCACTCCAACATACGGCAATTCCGGAGCCGATAAATTACATCGGCCGGCACCCATTCGACACGCACGCTGGTCTCTTGGTGGTAACTGGCACAGCGCATCCGCATTGCAGTGCCTTACACCCTTCCTGTAGGTGAATATGAAGGAGTAGTCCTGCAAAAATTTTAACCAGCGGGAAAGTTGGCTGGTCAACCCATAAGGCATTTTGAAGAGCTATGTGGTCTGTGCGCACGACAATGTTCCATACGTAAAAGTGCGGCCTATATTGCTGCACAGTACAAAATGGCCAAATAAATTCTGCGCATCACGCAGTGCCACTGCTCTGCGGGGGACAGCACACGGCTCCCATAGGCCACTACCATCTCCGCACCATTCACGACCTGGATTTCGGTGTCGCTGGCGTCCTCATCCAACACAAAGGGCTGAGAGAAATCAGGGTATCCAAAGGGAGGTGCATTGGTGAAGCCATCGCACAGCGCAAGAAACGCAGCATCCTCCTCCCCACACCAAAATCTCTGGCCCTTGGCAGTGAGCGCGTGGAGCAGCTTAGCGATCATTGTGAACTTGGGGATGAACCGGCAATGATACGATGCAAACCCGACAAAACTGCGGACTTCACCCACCAACGTGTGGGTTGGCCATGTGTACACTTGTAGTGTGTCAAACTGAGTCACAGACGTTGTCTTTGGGAGCAACAATATTAACACAACATACAATAGGGTGGTGACCACCCAACTAACCATGAATCCCCTCGATGGGTTCGCGATCCCGGTCCGGACAACGAGCTGGGTCCTGAACCGTGTGGCTGGAGGCTACTTCAAGCTGGACGTGGCTCTCCTGCCTCTCCAACAGTAAGAATCCTGAGCCCATCTCAGGGTCTCCCTTATATCGGGTCGGGCTGGGGCTGGCTCCACCTCTCGCTCCGCCCACCTTCTCGATCTCTATTGCCCTTTCCCGAAGGCTCTCAAGAGTTTTCTTGGACCATGTGACCACCCATTGGCCCCCTCCACCCGTGGCCCCCCTCCAGTATCATCTGGTCACATATCCCCAGGTCAGCCAGAGCATCATGCCCCTAACGTAACCCTAGCTGGCTGACACTCTCTTGCTCTCTCAACAGGAGCCCGCACCACATGCTGTGCGTGGTGCCACCACATTTAACCAGCGCTCACCCAAGCCCCCACTAGGGCTGGTACTACACCCCGTGTCCAGGGTGTCCACACAACAGTATACTTCCCGCCATGGCCTCAAAGGCCCGGCACCACACAGTGACATTCCCAGTCCATATTTACGCACGCAGTTTTGTCGGGATCCGTGATTATCCCAGACTCACTACCAATGTGGCCGAAATACCGCATCGATGTTTGCAAAAGATGGCACTTTTGCGGGTTGAATTTGAGATTGGTCACCATGCACCCTGATTAAACACTGACCGCAACCGTTGCAGATGCTCCTGAAACGTGTGCCCGAATACAATGACGTCATCCAAGTATATGAGGCACGAGTCCTATTGAAGACCTGCTAAGACTAATTCCATAAGCCGCTGAAACGTGACCAGAGTAGAGTGAAGACCCATCGGGAGGCAGTTAAATTGGAACAACCCTTGTGGTGTCCGGAACGCAGTTTTAGGCCTGGATCCTTCATCCAAGGGCAGCTTCCAAAATCTCAACAAGTCGAGGGTTGAGAAAAATCACGCACCCGATAAGGCGTCCAAGGAGTCATCCATCTGGGGGAGTGGATACGTGTCTGCCACAGATATTTTATTCAATTCATGGAAGTTGATGCAAAAGCACAAAAACCGATCCCGTTTTTTTACCAAAACAATGGTTGCCCCCCACAGACTGGTGGAAGGGAAGATGATGTCCGCGGCCAACACTTTGTCAACTGTCTGACGAACGTGGTCCTTCTCCTTGGGACTGAGCCTGCACGAACTCTACCGTATTGGAGCAGCGTTACCCATGTCGATGCGATGTTGCAATAGTGACGTGTGGCAAATATAAAAGTTCCCTTGGCTAAAGATATCCTCATTCTCTGGGAAAGGCACGCAACTTGCCCCGCTGTTCCCCATACAATGCGTCTATCCAAGCCCCATCCGACTCACCTCCCCGCTCCACCACAGCAACGACATCTGCAGTCTCCGAACAGGCCTGCTTACAGCACACGGCTGTTATGTGAGCCAAAACTGTACCGGCTTGGACTACCGCAGCCCCAAGCCCGACGTTTAGCACTTGCAAAAAGGGCTCCTGGTCCCCCCCTTACTTTGAGCACCCACCAACGCGAGACCCCAGACTCCTGCCGTTCGTGGCGACACAAGTACTAGCGACCGGGCTAAGACAACAGGACATTGGCGGAAATAATAAAGAAATGAGCTCCGAAATGATGGTAACCGACACTCCCGTGTGGAATAGCACCCTCACCTCTATCCCCTCGACAAACCCAATTACTGTGGACGACCCAGCTGCCGCCATCACAACACGGTGCGCCAACGCGTTTAACTGCCCACGCCCCGCTGTCACCCGTTCGATGTCGAATTCCGTCACTCGTGCGCCGTGACATGGTGAGGGATGATGATGTGCGAACCCAACACACTCAACAACGGGGATGCATGATGTGACATTTGCGGCCGGGTGTCTGATGTTGGCGGGGCAGAGGACATCGAAGGCGAGGAGGGCAATCTGGTGCTGTTGCGACATCCCCTGGCGATGTGGCCTGGCTGGCCACATTTTAAGAAGGCGATCGTGGACCTCCATGCTGGGATGGGGGCCCTCTCCCGCCGTTCCTGCTCCAGTCGTCACCCCTCGATGTTCCTCCCACGTGGACCTTGTACGAACGACGCGCAGGCCTGCTACAGCTCCCGCGGCGCAGGCTCCTCTGCGTCCTCCTGGAGTCCAGCACAGGCAGCCACCTTGGGCCACCGCTGCAAGTTGACGTGCACTTGGATGCAGCGGGCCACCTTTAGTGACGACAGGTCATCCTCCTCCGTGGCGGGAAGAGAGATGCCCAACTCCTGGACCAGTGACAGCAGTCTCTCCAGCACCAGGGAATCCAGTGCAGTCTACTCCATACGCGGGTATGCTACATGGCCAAAGGCCAGAAGTGTGCTGTGGAAGGCGAGAGGCTTCTCGGCCTCCCCTCGCCTCCGCAGCACGAACCTTTGATGCGTGTTGGATGGTGGTTCAAAAATGACAGCCTTCTGAGTGCATGCTCGAGGTAGAGTTGCCCGGTTAGCCTCAGGGATCGCCTCAAACGCCGCCAGTGAGTCGTCATCCAGTGCCGTGGGCAGAGCCCGCAGAGCCTCCCCGTTGGACCACCTGACCAGGGTGCAAGCCACTTTGAAGTGGTGTTGAAATGCCGTCCAGTCGCCCCCCACGGTCACGAACTCACGGATGGTAGGCAGGCGCGTTCATAGCAACAGTTTCCCCGCAGAAGCCACCGATGGCGACTCGAATTTAGCGGGAAGACTTTCCCACTCTGACGACAAAATGGCAGTCACTTGCTGCGCCGTGCCCGCGGTGGGAAAAATGGCTACCGCTTGTGCAGGCGGGAATACTGCTGTTTCCCATGCTGGTGCGGCAGCAGAAGGTGAGCCATCCACCTGCTGCTCTCGTGCTACAGCATCTCTGGCAGGCGCCGCAGACCCGAGTTGCGCTGTGGAGATGAGCAGGTTTGCAAGGCGCCCGGTGAGGTCGTACCACCCTTCTCCGACTGGCGGCTGCAAGAGGCGGACGTCCTCCTGCTGCTCCGCTGGTATCGCCGCCTCGGGATACATCACCAGAGTCCTGGATTTTGGGTCTGTTGAGAGGATCACATCCCCGTCGTCCTCGTCTCCAGAGGACACTATCGGTGGGTTCTTCCTCTTTGTCACTTTGACATGACAAATGTATTTTTCTTTCGCACTTCTGACGCCAAATTTAGTGACTAACACGGAGATAAGTCTTGGAGTCACTTCTTTATTATCAAACACCATCGGGCTTAACACTCTTAATAATTAGTCCATCTATTGTCGGCGACGCTACAGAGCCAGGACAATTGGTAGGCTGCCTGACTAGCAACACCCCGAGATGATAAAGAGAGAGACCACGACAAGACGAATGGTGAAGACGACGAGAAGAATGGTGAAGATGACGAGACGAATGGTAACAAAGGACTTGAGTAGCACAACGGGGATCCCACTCCAACAACAGCCCCGAGGTCCCCTGCAGGGCCTTCTCTTTTACTGTGAGCATGGCCTCGCTCCGCCCCCTGCAACGCCCCCTTTCTGGAACTTACTAGCGGATTCCTGGTGTGCCCCTTCTGTGACGTTTCTCCTAGATCCCCCTCTCGTGTATATCCTTGCCTGCTGATGTCAGGACTGCAGTACGCCGCCGATCCCTATTTCTGCCAGCAGCCAGTGCTATGCCACTTCATACAGTGAGAGAAAAAAAGTATTTGATCCCCTGCTGATTTTGTACGTTTGCCCACTGACAAAGAAATGATCAGTCTATAATTTTAATGGTAGGTTTATTTGAACAGTGAGAGACAGAATAACAACAACAAAAATCCATAAAAACGCATGTCAAAAATGTTATAAATTGATTTGTGAAGACATTATTTTCAATTTAGATTTTAACATGCAAAGCCCCAGTGGCTTCCTAATATCAGAAAAGCGTTCCAGACGCTCGCAGAAGTGCATCTGAAGCACTGTGTGATGCGGTAACCATTTTTGTTAGACAGTTGGCCAAAGCTGCTGCTGCTGTGAGGATGACTGGAGTTCACGTGATGGTTTATGCTACTTGATGAGAATAGCTTTGTGTGAAATTTAGACGAGAATTCAATGGTGCTAGGAAAAACTTGAACTCAGTTCAGACCATCTTACATCTCTACTACAAACCAGTCACAATTGTAAGGTCTCCAGCTAACCAAATGACATTGGATCAAGCTTAATATGCTCATGGCTGAAGGCCTGCCAACGCTGGCATTACCATGTTTCACAACACATGGGAGTTGCGTGATCACGTTTCATCAAACTGGTTAGTGCGCATTGACATTGGTCGTCACCCCTGACATGAACTATAATCGGGAATTCAACTCTAATAACCAGGTTCATTGAGCACTGCACTCATCGGTACGCACAATAAAAGTTCGTGTCAAATATTGATCATTTACAATGTGCATTGTTATATGAAATTATTTCATCGAAACTATTATTTATTGCGTTGGCCGGCACGGTCCCGGTTCCAGAAAGGCTGTTGCCAGGGTTCTGAAGCATTTTGAAAAAACTGAGAAAACTGAGCAGCGGGCAGGGATGCCGGACAATGAGGGGTAAGCAGCAGGGCCAGTGTCTGAGAGAGCAGAGCGCCACTTACTGCGTGGGTCAAGAAAATGGTTAGGTGAAGCCGTATATAATTGGGTGCTGACAGAGGTAGAGGGAGGAGAGGAAATTAATGAAAAAAGATGACTGCTTAATATGGAGGGGTACATTTGTTCCAGTGAAGGGGCTGGGGGGGAGAGAAGAGGGTGGTGGGAGAATCACGACCAGATAGAATAGGTGGGTGAGTGAGGACCAGGTAGAGTAGGTTGGTGAGTCACGACCAGGTAGAGTAGGTGAGTGAGTCAGGACCAAGTACATTATATGGACGAGTCAGGAGCAGGTAGAGAAGGTGGGTGATTCAGGACCAAGGAAAGTCGTTGGGTGAATCAGGAGCAGGGTTCGGGTTTATAGGGACCCGAGGTGGTGGCACCGCACGCTGGGGGGTGGGGGGGGGGGTCAGGAATAATAGTACTTTGCAGACCAATATTGTTCATAAAGGGTTATTTTTTTTATAAGATCACGTAAATATGAATGTGTCGTTAAACCAACCACCACCCGACACAGCCAATTAGTAATGTTCGTAGAATCTGGCCGTCGCCTGATGAGGCTGGTTGTAATTACTCGCGAAAAATCGTTCTCGGATTGCAAATGTTGTAGGTTTACTCTCCAACACATAACCGCTTAGTGCTGAACTAGTAACTGATTGGCACGTTTATTTTTGAGAAATATCTCAAGTATTTTCGGTCTCGACACAGCACTGATGCCGCCCGTCTCCGCTTTTTCTTCCCTCTCAGGCTCGGTAAGCATCGTTGGCCCTGTGGTGGGAGGTTTGCTGGGAGCGTTGGTGATCATTGTTGGAGGGGTCTTACTCTACATACGCCGGGAGCAGTTGTACGTTCTGAGCACAAACACACACACAGCACAGCTGCCAACCTCACATTCACTGCGATATCAACTTTTGTCACAGGAAGGCCTGTCCACATCCCACGGGTTGTGGGGTTATTTGCCAATCCTTCAAGAACCTGATCAGTGTTTCTCTTAACTCACACAGCCTCATTGTAAAAAGCCAACTCTGCTTTCCTAAATTAAGTGATTCATTAAGTTTTGGTAATTACGTCTTTCCCTACAGTGCTATTTTGATAGTGCTATCGACGTTTCATCATGAGACAAATTATCCGTTCTGTTATCTCGCAGAGTAGTGCATCACCCTGTGTTAGACAACGGTCTGCGGGAAACAGATATCACACAACCAGTCCAATATTCCTTAATGTTACGTCTGAGTCAGTCATCCTTGCAGCAGCAGCGGCTTTTGGCTGGCCATCAAACAAAGACGGTCACTGCATCGCGTGCCTTCGGATGCATTTCTGTGCTCGTCTAGAACGCTCTTCCATCCGATATTAGGAAGCCACTGGAGCGTTGCACTTTAAAATCATCTCGATGGGCAAACCAATTTGTTTAAATTATGTTTGTGTTTAGTTTCTTGTCCTTCCACTGCACCTCCGATTAGCGTGGCTGCCCCTACTGTATACATAGTCATACAGTAGGGGGCAGCATATTCCTACTCACCCAGCTACGGAATAAGCAATATTCAGCACATGACTTTCAAACCTATTGTTTTAATATTTTTTGTGATACTGCATTGGCAGTAGTTCATGAGCATAGATAACAAAAACTAAACGCATTTGTTAATACCACTGCTCCAGTGGTATACTTTTTTATCTATGTGTTATAAAGAAACGCCATTGCCTGAAATATCATCTAATATATATTTACTTTCTGGAAAGTTTATGACCGAGTTTGTAATTGTCAGAGCTGGAATTTCTAAAAAGTGCAGAAGCAAATTTATGTTGTCAGGTTTTTGTGCATTCATTGCCAACTGGGTTGAGCCCAGTTTTAAATACAGGCATCTGCCCAGATTAAACGCCAGGAACTCAGTTCGTTCCTAGACCTATCAGTGCTTCTGTCAGTCCATTAATCTGTGTGTCTGTCCACCTAGTAGTCTGGCTATTGGTAAAATGTTCCCAACATGTCCCTCTTTCTACAGGAACTGTTTCAAGAGACCCGATTCCACACAAACTAGGTAAGAATTCCTCTTATCCGCGTGTCTCATCCACTTATCTAGCTCCCCATTACGAGTCCCCTTCAGACAATCTGGTGATGTTTTGGTTGACGAGTGACCACGCGTTTTCTCCTGTAGCCCTCAAGACTATTGAACTCTCTTCTACAAAATATCAGGATCTGTGAACATTGTTAAAGATGTCGTAAAACATTTATAATTATTTACATAAATATGGTCATAAAACATATTTATGTTTTACGATGCCACGGTGGCGAGATGTGAACCACCTTGCCTGGTATGCAGTAGGTCATGAGTTCGATCCAGGCCCTGACACCTGTATATTTGAAGTTGATATGTTCTGCCTATGGTGGCGTGGATTTTCTCCAGGCCCAGTGGTTTTCCCCTCCAAATTTGGAAACATGCATTTGCACTTGAATATTTGGCTGCTAGACATTCCCCTGTGATACGCCACTTTGTGGAGTTATCATTCGTGGCCAGGTCACTTCTGAAAAATAACTACATTGCTCAGTTAAAATAAAAAGTGTATACGCCTCCATTTGTTCAATCATTATTAGTTAATTTATAACATGGTTTTAAGCATTTTTTCAATAGTAATTTTTAATGAGTGATTGCTTCTGTGTCTTGTACAGCATTTGAGATAATCGACAAATGTTATAATAACCAGTGCGATACGGTACACAACTAATTCTGTTTGAGTCGTGAGCATACACAGTACACTGAATATCAAGAATGCTCAGCATAGTTTGATGCCACTTAGGCAGTTCGCAGTGACCTGCAGTCATTCAATAATGGTGGTGAAATTAGATTTATCTTTTTTTAACTATTTCTAGCATTAGCGGTGGCATTATTAATGTGTTGGTGCCTTAGTACCTGCATGTTCTGGTTGTCTCTTCGACGAATCGTATGTGCTCACCACTGAGAATCTCCCCCTTTTGTATGTACGTACTCATGTTGAACCTCTTTCATATACCGTATGTATTCAACAGTGCTCATCGAGGTGCGAGGGGCGGGAAGCACAAACGAAACATAAAACGCAGTTCTCAAGATTTGAGTTTTAAATCTAGTTTTTAAAAAGTACATGGCTCCCGTGGCTTCCGCATTAAATGGCAATTTTTATAGCAATATTGGAAACACTACAATGTAGATTCCGTAAGTTACAAGTTGGAGGGGAGGAGCTTCCATTGATGTAAACTGTCTATTTATAGACACGTTTCGACAAGGAAGAACACGATTCAAGTACTTATTTATCATATGAATAATGAAGTCAGTATATTCCTAAGGAAAAAAAGTACAAACATTAAAATTCAACGGGCATGGAGTGGCAGCGCAGTGGATAGTGTTGTTGCGGTTTGAGGCCGACATCAGTTTTAGCTTTAGTTTTAGCTACCTTACCGATAACAGTACTACTTTTTGCAAATTGCCAGCATGTTGAAATAAAAAAATTGCTCAGCAATATAATGTAATGCCATTTTATTTTTAAAGCACAAGAAAATGGGACGATCTCCCAGCTATACCAAGTGACATGAAGAAGGATGTTTGTGATGCAAGTCATGAGGCCGGCAATGAATACGTGATTCCTGACGACTCCGTTTATGAAGATCTGGATAATCGGTACGTGGGCAAGTCACAATTACATAAAAGTGACACAATTTGCTATTAGTATAGGTAATCCAATTTACACGAGTTATAATCATGCTGAATGTAAGCACCTAGTTCATGCAATGAACAATTATATGGGTAATACTTGATACAAGTTAGAAACATTTACACTTTACATTTAAAATGTATCACATTCTAATCCAGGCTTCGTCCATTTAAAAATCTAAATCGAATTCAACTCGATTTAGTAGCAGTCCTTTTATATCTCACTCTTCTAAAATGAAAAGAAAAAACGAAAATTAATATATAACGTTACTTTTTAAGTGAATACATCTTCAAAACGTCCAGACATTGCAGGACATCACAACAATGGATAAACGCTATCTGGGCAAATGGAGCCCATCAATTCTTGCAGACTATTGCTGGTCAGTGACAAGAGATCCATTTAATGCATACAAGATATAAGCCAAGAAGTGTAGAGTAGACATTGAATAAGGATTAAACTATGTACTTATGTATACTTAATAGTGTTTGCCTTTTGTTTCATAACACATTTTATTAATATACTCTTTTGCTGATTTATTGACATTTTATCATGTAAAGCAACCATAAACACATGCAAAGACCTAGGTTTACAATTTATGAGTAAAACTCTATCTACACTATACATAGACGTCATATTTGAATTCAGCACATCAAAATCCATAATAAACAGCACATTTCATCTCTGAAGCAGACTTCAAAAAAACTGTAGATCAGTGTAATTCTTAAATGTGTTTATTGTTTTAACGTTATGTTAGTAACAGTCTGTGCCACTCTCCAATTTCTTTGGTGAAAAGTGGGTTAAGTTTAGCCTAATTGTGTAAAGTTGGCTCAACAAATGATAATAGTGCGCCTTTTGGCGTCATCTGGTCCAACCCATGTGAGACTAGGCTCTAAGGAAAGCTGTCTCGGGTGTGGACCAATCAACTTCAAGGACAGTGCATGCATTATCAGAGTTATGTTTTTTGTTTGCATTATGACTTCAGGTATTGTGGTCTATGCAAACATGACTCCTTGTAAAAAAAAAAGGTGTCAGTTTTGTTGCCAGATAGAAGGGTAAAAAACCAATAATCATATTTTTACTGGCAAATGAGGTTCCAATGGTGTTGGCTCAACAAACTCAACTATAATCGAAAGTTTTGTTTCATATTGGATACTCTAAAGATATATTTAAGCATGTCATTTATTGTGATTCACCATCAGAATTTAGGCCGAGGTAAAAAAAATCCCAATTATGATTTTCTGAATCGTGAGTTACCGGGTTGGTTCGACTATTTGTATCGGATTTCATTATCTCTGTATTCCTTATAAAAACAAAAAAAATATTTACGTCAAGTCACTGCCTTGGTCAAAATCACTGACACTTGTTAAAATAACTCGCATAAAAATGTAATGTTTCCGACGGTTTAGACTTTTTTTATGCGTGTTATTATTATTCGCTTTCATCATAGTTCTTAATTTTATTCGAGTTTCGCTTAGATTATTATTATGTTACATGTGTGTTGGATCATCATACTCAAACGTTTTCTTTTCATCTTATTCAAGTACACCCCAAGAGGTCCACCACTCAGGTACATCATCGAAGGCAGGAGAAGATGATGCCAAGACCGAGGGCAGTTCCGATCCCACCTATCTCGTTCCCAACAATGCATACGTCAATGTGAAATAGCCATTCAAGTCACTTTCCACCTTCTTCTGTTTGATCTAAAAAAAACATCTCAAATCTACTGACTTAAAAAAAATTAAGCAGACTTTTCCTCTGCTGGGTTCATGCCAAGGTCAATCTTACCTCGTTCTCAAGGTTAATTAATCCATGCCAGGTACAAATTGACTAGGTGTGATGTTATGCCACCAGCAGGCAGAAATTGCACGTCTTTGAGAACAGATGTTGCTCTTGCAAAAACAGCTGGTATTCAAGGCCTCAAATGGACTTGCTTCTGCCTATATTCATGACCTCCTTCAGTCATATATTCCATTGAGATCATTAAGATCGTCAGATTCAGCATTGCTCACTGTCCCAAAGTCTAGGCTTCGCACTTGGGGGTGATGGCGCCTTTGCAATTGCGGCTCCTAAACTCTGGAACTCGTTGCCCTTCGAGGTCAAGGGGATGTCCAAGATGCTTCAAATCTTCAAATCTTGACTAAAAACATATCTTGTTTAAAATCGCTTTCTCTCGTTACTTAATTTCAAAGTCTTTCTTCCTTCTTCTTACCTTGGTTGATGTTAACTATTTCTGCCTTTTCGTGCATAGCGCCCTGAGAACGATTGTTAAAGGGCACTCTATGAAATTGTAATTATTATAGGTCTCTGGACGAGTCTAAGGGTACTTATGCAAGTGTAATGGTCTCAGTGGAAATCTATAAATAAGTCTTCTCATGGCTGATGTAGGTGTAGAGTAACAACTATAATTTTACATTCAGGTGGTCGATCCAGATGACTGCGTCATATCTAGAGGATAGTACTGCTCTGATGATGCCTCCCTCCTTCACATTTGTGAATTGGGCATTGAGACGTCATACCTTCTATGGTCTACTCTGGGTAACCACAGGTACATTACTACTATATAATTTTTATGTTTCTTTTCATTTATGCTTCAAGTAACCGCATCTGCCATATTTTGTGTGGATTAGATTTCGGGTTGTGCACATAATTTCCGTGGAAGATCGATCAAAGCCATGGATTGTCTGCATCGGGTCCACATTCTGGGTAAAGGTAGAGACGGCTGGCCCCGACAAAACAAAGCCATGGATAATGCCAAATATAAGTGTGATATAAATATATGTATTATTTACCTACATAGACTATAAATTTCGATTTAAAGCTTTCGTGACTGCAGGGATTCATCTTCTTGGTTCTTTCGGCTGCTTGCGTTGTGGCCGAAACGTCGTGAGAATTGTTTTATTATGTTTTATTTTTATTATTTTATTACATAGACTATATAGGGGTGAATCTATAAAATGTGTTAATTTGTTGTTTGTCTTTCATATAATCGGTTGACTGTCGGGACTCATTTGTTGTCACATTGTGACGATCGAGTCACGGACACGCAGGATGAAAGACTGAGATACTAAGCAAACGTGCATGAAATAATATAATTTTCACAAGCACGGTAAATGCCAAACCTGACCCCTTTGCAAATTTCGCGTTAAAATGTATTAATATTACCAATTGTATGGGTAAAGGTACTCTTGTAACATGGATGGTGCGCCACCATATCTGCATGTATAATTCGTTTTGATTTTTATTTACTATATAATGTATATTTATCCACTTTATAAGACAATGTAATCGATATGTATCCACTACATAATACAACTGGTTTAAAGTTAACCTGCAGGTTTAGTTATCATACATGAAAGTAAAGGGAAATAAATTAAAGATCTTACATTTTCATACCCATTTGTTCCATTAAAAATGTTACTTTATGATGAAACTTTATCATTCGTTATGACAGGTACTTAGCTTTATCAGGAGCATCTGATTTCATAATCTTCAAACTTTACCGACACCCGCATCAATGTACTCATATTTTTCACAAACACTTCAGCATGAGACATGCAAGGACGGATTGTCGAGCAAATTTTCTGTAAGTTTCAGCTGCTATCAAAGTGTTCATAAGAAAGTTTACTACAAGAGGTCGCTATCAAGAGAACATTACACGCAGTTTGATGCCATACAGCAAACCCTTCCCTCTCGCGGGTTTAGCCATCTTGGTTTTTCGGCAAATGTATCGAGGTGTAGAGTTCGCCAATTGCGCCCTCCTCTGACAGCTTGACCATTCGCGGTTTACCCCGCGAGATTGCTGCTGTACAGCTTCGGCGCTGCACTGCTCGTAATAATGTTGCTGCTGTAGCACAGCGGCCATCTCGTCTCCGTCTCATCTTTCAGGCCACGTGGTGGTGCTCCCAGCCAGCTTCCAGTGAGGAGAAAGCAAGGATTCAGCCACCCGCAATCTTTTGCCCTGTAGTGTGCAGTACCGTACGCCGATACGTGCTCAGTACCGCGCGTCGATACGTGTACAGTATTGTAAACCACATTTTTTTCATTCAATACATTAACCGTGCAAGGTATATTTAAACACAATATTAATATTTTACATTAAATCTACTTCTTGTGTAATGCTTCGATTGATGTCGGGTAACATAAGATAAACAGAGGGTGTCGTATTACAAAATATGAATTATTATACTCCAGGAGGAATATGATAACCTATAAGGCTGATTTTAACAGATGTCCCATTAGGGGGAAAGGGTTCAGAACGTTACAACAACACAATAAACACAAACATGATGGAGGTTAACAGAACTGCGAAACAAACCCTCGTTTTCCCATAAGCCTTTTGAGTTAGCAGATCGTGGATTATCCGATTGCCGTTCTTTTCAAGAAAGTAACCCCCGCCCCCTTCTGCCACGATGGGCAAATGATTTTCTGTACTCTGACGGATTTTCTCATCAGGCGATGTAATTCGACGCACGAGTTTCCACATGGTACAACTCATCGCTCGCAATCTTAGCAGCAATCCGTTGTCATTTTTTTAAAGATTATCTCCATGGAATAAACACCTTTTAAATAAAGTGTATAACCTACCACAAACTATGGTAAGAAAGTTGTGTTTTTTTATGTATTCAATTTCGTTGCGTTTAGTTTGTTGCCCCCCCCCCCACATCTTTGATTAGCAGTTGGCTACGTATGTACTGATACATCAAAACACATGTGAATGTGTAGTGGATTGAACTTAGTCGCAGACGTACTTCTTGGAGGCAACACATTTATTACCACCAACCAATAACACAAAGAGGTTACTGCCCCTTTACCAGATAAACTATGGTGCTGGACCACCAGGCTAACTACGCTAGTTACTGGGAGTAGTTAAAATGGTCAGGACCCTAGCTTGGGTCCTCGTCCACGTGTTGATGACTTCTTCTTGGACGTAGAATGTAGATCGTAGATCTTCAGATGACAACAAGAACGCTCAACCCCGGTCCCTGTGCGGACCCGGTTTATATGCTGCTGGGTCGTGGCTGGCCCCGCCCTTGGCCACGACCACCTTCGAGAAACCTCTTGTCGTTTCTCGACACTTCCCGTTGGATCTCACCCTGACACGTGACCACCCCCAAGTCCCAACCTGGAGCCCTTGTGTAGATCTTACTGGTCACGTGCCTTGCAGGGTCAATCAATGCCATGGCCTAGGGCAGGGGTCGGCAACCAAAATAACAAGAAGAGCCATTTCTTTCCAATTCGGTACAAAATTCAGTATTTCAAGAGCCGCAATGCATCTGAGTACATAAGTACTCATCGTCAAGAAGCAGCCCGTAAAGAGCCGCATGCGGCTCCGGAGCCGTAGGTTGCCGACCCCTGGCCTAGGGTAACCTCATCCCGTGGCTGACACTCACACTCCCTCCTGTAAGAGTCAGCACTGCATGCCACGCGTGGTGCCACTGGGCTATTGTGATGCCGCCGCCACGAAGCCGTTCGGCAGGCACCAAATCCCCGACCTCGCCACCACCAAGCAACGGAGCCGACCCCGCGTCCCCCTCACCTCACCTCACATGAACACACCCGCACTCATTTCCCCCCCCCCATAGAGCTCCGAGGGGAGGTCGCCTGGCCGACCGGTTTTTATCCGAGAGACCCTTATCGGGATTAATTCTCACGGTTTCCGGCGATCAGGGAATTGGATGACCTCCCCCGTGCTACGTGGCACCGCGGCGCTGCGGCCGGCCTTAATATGGGGTGGTCGCGGCGTGGGGCATTCGGCCACCGCGGTTGAGGCGCATTTCCCCCCACACACACTCCCACGGGTCGACGGGGCAAGCAGGGGAGGCACGGGACAGCATGAATAGCGGGGTCACAGGGGCTGTTGCGCATAGTCATGGAGGGTTGGGATAATTGCGCTTGAGCGCGCAGGCCCCATTGTTAGGAAGGGTAAGGGAGTAATTAGGATGTACGCCGCCAACGTCGCTCACTGATTAGCATATCAACAGCGCCCGGGAACCGCCGTGCGCGGGCTTGGGGTGCACGAGCCCATTGTTCAGCGCAGCATCCCCTTTGAGGTAGGGAGGATAAATAGAGGAGCGCAGAGGGGAAATCGCTCTCTTCTCTCCAGCGCCAGGCGACAGGACGCTCTCCAGTCCAGCGACCCGATCGTCCGTGAGACGCAGCGAGGTACGCTGCGAGCACGGGATCAACAAACCGCCGTGGGCATCCAGCAGGAAGTAAGTAGGTGAATTAGAATCATAGCAGATAAATCTGGAATAGGTATAAAGGTATCAGCGTAGGCCAGCCTCGTCGACTCACTGATTTAACATTAAATTACCAGGTATCAGATAATAAATCATTAATAGCGAAGCGTGGTCTCGCGTGATATTGTCGTGCAGTGTGAGCGTGTGGGTGCGCGTGTGTACACTGTGGTTCACCACGTGAGTGAGCGCTGCGTAGAGCGGCGCACGAGTGGGTGTCGCGTGTGTGCAGGTGTGTGCGCTCGTAGTGTGGGTGAAGGGGTCGGTGCGTCCGCAGGTCCCCGATCCGTCTGTCGCCGCCGGGACTCGCGCAGTGTGAGGGCAGCGTCGTTCGCCCCCCGACCCCCGTTTAATAGCGCGTGATCCGTGGAGAGACAACGCAGCGTCTGCAGGTGAACGAGGGCGTGCGGCGAGCTATGCCTCTCACACGAGCTCGCGGAGGGACGGACCAGGGAGGGGAGCCGTCGGGCGATGAGCCCAGCGACGGCAGCAGCTGCTCGCAGAGCAGCGAGGGGTCGGCGCACGGCGGAGCCCCTGCCATAGGCACGGAGCAGGGAGGGACTCCGGGGACCAGCGGCCCCAACAACTTGGTGTCAGAAGTGGGATTCGAACCCACGCCTCCACGGGAGGGTGGCGCGCTACTCCACGCAAAGGTAAGGCATGTGTTCACCGGCCAGGGGACCCCTACATGGAAAGCGTTTTCCCGTAATATCATAGGGGCTAAAGAGCTTAATGGCTGGTCGGACGCGCAGGCGTTGCAACATCTTACGTTAAACTTAGACGGGCGGGCAGCCGACTTTGTAGAGGCACTACCCGAAAGCGCGCAAACCCAACTAGAAGAACTAATGCGTAGATTAGACCTGCGTTTCGGCACGCGCAACGCGATACGGGCGAAGACCGCCTTAGAGGCGCGCCGACGCCAAACTGGCGAGGACTTCCGAGACTACGCTGAGGACGTGCGATCACTAACCCGGATCGCCCGTCCAGAGTTCTCGAAGGAGGTCATTGACGCGCTAGCTGCAGACAAGCTACTCAGGTACCTAGCTCGCACCGCGTGGTGGCAGCCCAAAAAGAGTAGCGCAGGCCTCCCTTTCGATACCCTAGTCGAGCAAGCGCTGGAGTGTGAGGAGCTCTCCAGCGAACGCGCGCAGCTCCGAGGGTCGGGACAGGAGTACACCGTGGCGAGCCTGATCCCTGACGAGGAGGAGGATGAGGATGAGCCCGCCAGCCCCATGGGGAGACGGGCAAGAGAGGCCCAGAAACCCCGCGAGACAACCCCGGGTTGGGTAGCTGGGTTACAGACCGGCATGGGAGATATTGCTGGCCGAGTAGACCGAATGGACGGTAAGGTAACCCAAGTAGGGGAGAGGGTAACCCACGTAGGTGAGAGGGTAACCCAGGTACGCGAGGAAGCGAATAAAAATATGAATACCCTCCAGTCTGAGATGGGGGAACTACGCTCGACCGTAGGGGGGCTGGCCGGGAGAGTAGCCCAATTAGAGTCCGATGTGGGACAACTGCGTACTGGGGGAGGGAGAGGGAGCGGACAGGGGACCCGCTACGGAGCCCCCCCCCCCTCCCCGGGCATGTTATATGTGCGACCGCCGAGGGCATCTAGTGAGGGACTGTCCTCAGGTCGCCCGAGCTAGACAAGAGCTAAGGTCAAACACTAAGGCCCCCCTAGAGAGGGGACCACCGGGGGGCGAAATCGACGTAGCCCCGACACAAACAATCTGTGAGAATAATGGCGAGCGAGTGATCTCCACACAGGTTCCAGCAACAACGCCCACAGAAACGGTGACTCCTGGCGACTGGCTGCGGGAGCTGGTGGCGGGGATCACGGGGGCCACGTCGCTGGTGGAAGGGGAGGTAAACGGAGTGCGTACCCGAATCCTGCTGGACACGGGGGCGGTGGCCTCACTCGTGAGCGCAGCGCACTGCAGCGCGATCGGGGTCGACGTGCGTCACCTGCAGGCCCCGGACCGCGCGCTGCACACTGCGAGCGGAGCCGGAATGGGGCTGCTGGGGAGAGCCACCCTAGAGGTCCGCATAGGCCGCCAGGTGTGCACGCAGGAGTTCTACGTGTCGAGTGCGTTGTGTCACGAGTGTATCGCAGGCACCGACCTCCTAGAACGGTTGGGACTCAACGTGCAACCCCGCCAGCGATGCGCCACCATGGAGAGCAACGGCGAGCAGATACCGTTCCTGGGACGAGAACCAACGCGCCGCCGCTTTGCACCTGTGGCCGCTATCCTGGCGACGACAGTCACCATCGGCCCGCTCACCGAGATGCTGGTGCCGGTGGCAACATCCCCCACCGACCCCGCGCTCCGACCATCAGGGGAGGTAATGCTAACTCCTCACCCGGAGTTGGCAAAACGGTATGGGGTTGTGGGATCCGCCACGTTGGTAAACGCAGATGGGGACCGATTGTTTATGCGGATGTTTAACCCCCACAATACCCCAGCGATACTGCGACGGCGCACCCCGATAGCCACAGTACACCCCCTGCACGCACGCCACTCTAACGACTCGGTATTCGCACTCTGGGCTGAGGACCCCGGGCGTCCTGAGGGTGACCAGGACCTGGCCTGGCGAGTCGGCCCGACTCCCCGAGCCGAGGTCGTTCCCCTGCTCGACGCGTTACATGTACCATGGGCGGATTTACCTAAGGGAGAGGCCGATCGGCTGCGCGAGTTACTGCGGGAGTATGCCGACGTATTCAGTGAACACGACTCGGACGTGGGTCGGACCGATCTTGTTAAGCACCAAATTGACACCGGTGCAGCCCGACCCATCAAACTCCCTGCGTACCGAGTGGGCGCACCCAAACGTGCCCAAATCAAAGAGGCAGTTGGGGACATGCTTCGCGATAACATAATTCAGCCCTCGGCGAGCCCCTGGTCAGCCCCGGTGGTACTAGTAACGAAAAAGGATGGGTCAACACGGTGCTGCGTCGATTACCGTAAACTAAATGCAGTCACGCTCGGCGATGCCTTCCCTATACCCCGCATCGACGACACCTTCGACAGCCTCGCCGGAGCGCGATATTTTTCCACCCTCGATCTCGCGTCCGGGTACTGGCAGGTGGAGATGGCGGAGGAGGATCGGCCGAAAACCGCATTCACCACCCCGATGGGGCTATTCGAGTTTCGAGTACTCCCGTTCGGACTCACCAATGCGCCCGCGACGTTCCAGCGGCTGATGGAGTTGGTGATGCGGGGCTTGCAATGGGAACAGTGCCTGATTTACTTGGACGATGTGATAGTGTTCAGTAGATCTTTGTCTGAGCATTGGTCCAGGCTTCGAGAGGTGTTCCAGCGACTGCGAGCGGCTCATCTCAAG